GAGGCTTTGCCCAGAAGTTGGGACATTTAATTTATACCAATTTCCACTCTTGCTAAATTTTAAACTATTTGAAAATCTTACATATATAGGGAGAATATACATAGAGATTATTTTTATATTGTAACTAACTAAACCCGGCCACGCCTTTATGTGGATTTTTATTTGGAACTTCGCAATATAAACTACCGTATAGAAAAACATACTTCTGTTAAATAGCTATATTGTAAACAGTATCATGTCAATCAATCGATTAGTTTTTGAATCTTGGTGACATAAACATGCGCAAGCTACATTTTTATATATTAGTAGCGTACCCAAAAGATGTTGCCCCGCGACTTAAACCCGACAAAAATTTATAAATTTAATTTAAAAAAAAAACTAATTGTGAATCTAAACCTAAGTTCAGTGGTATACACACGTACAGAAGAATTATATATACAAAGATTATGAAGATTACGCAGATTTTACTTCGGTACTATGGGTTACTACGTTTACTGTATCGTAAAGGTTCTTACGCATCTACAAGATATCAGATGTTGTAGATGTGCGCCATGGGCGGCAGTATTCACTTAACATCAGGTAAACCAATCGTTGACGTAAGACAATGTATAGAATTCTCTATCTATCATGATCAAATTTCAATTAATTACTAAGTTATAATCTGTCACTGACATTGTTTATTTATTTATTTTCGAAGACCTGGACTTTAATAGCAAAATGGCTGAATTATTCTATGCGCTTTGGCGTTATGTCTGAAGAAGACAAAGCAAGAAGCATCTCTTTCTTGCAGTGTAGGATGCTTCGTATCCAAAAGTAGCTTGGGACCTAAGTGTTCTCTACCCTTGAACGCTGCTCTGATTGCCACTGGCAGTGAGTTGCAGAGAAGGTATGCATACCATGAAAACGGCTTTTGTATTACTTTAGCCACACAAAAAAATAGGGTGTAGGCATGCAACACAGAGAGATCACGTCGTACCTTCGATCGGGTAATAGAAGGTTCTGACGCGCACGCACTTCCATTCGACTTCACAGGACTCTGGCCATTCGTTGGGTTAACGCCTCGCCTACCTTAATTCAAAACAAAAAATTATATATGTATATAATAATATAAATCTTATGCAATTTTAATGAACATTAGCCGAAACCCGCAACTTCGTTTGCGTTGCTTTTTTCTTAACAACTTACCGCTTGCCACACTACTCCACCGAAAGAAAACACACATCACTTAACTGGAATAGTTGTTGTATTAAAATACTTTAATAACTTTACATTAAATGAGGATATCACAATACTTTCGACTTTAGATAAGATCTAATTGTAAGTACTACATTTTATACCGTGCTTAAAAAGTAGCCTTCCTCAATATATGGGCTATCTAACGGCAAGAATTTTTCAAATTGGAAGTGTAGTTTCTGAGATTAGCGAGTTCAAACAAACACTCTTTAGTTTTACAATATTATTATCCTCTTATTTTTGTCCGTCTCATTACTACCAAAAATTCTTTCTATTGCGGTGCAGGTCGATATCGACCCGCCGCTTTCTCTGGTTCCTGGCTCATTTCCTGTTTAGCAGATCCAGGGGCGCATCGAAGGAAGTTGCGTTGTTGTCATGTTTTCGCAAAGTTATAGCATTTTAATCTAGCCAGTGCTGGAGGGTCGTTAAAGACTCGCCACGCACTGGCAGAAATATCGTTGGGGACGCATTTCGACCTGCTACTGCACCAGATGACGGCTTATGATTTTATGGGCCGCAGTCAAGGTGTTATAACATAATTATGACAAATGATATAGTTCTGAGGTCAACGTAGATTGGAAGTGTCAATGGATAAAACGGGACCCTATTACTAATACTTCGCTATCTGTCTGTCCGTCTGTTATCAGGCTGTATCTCATGAACCGCGATAGTAAGACAATTTAAATTTTCACAGAAATATTATTTCTGTGTCGCTATAACGACAAATACTAAAAAATAGAATAAAAAAATATATCTTTTTTATTTATGAACCGATTGGAATAAAACACACTAAATGTTAAGTGAAGATTACTTCAATGCATTTAGTTGTAGTAGTTGCACCCAGATCGGTTAAGCTGTTTCTGAGATTAGCGCGCACGAACGCACCGACAAACAGATAAACAGACAAACAGAGAACATTTTTAACAATCATTAATCAATTTAACAATCATCTTATCAACGCAAAAGAAGCCAAAACGCTTCTTTTGCGTTGATAAGCCTAGCTCTCTTTTACTAAAGAAACTTAACTATTTTAACTTAAATATTTTCTTAACCGAAAGCTTATTTCTTTTGGACTTTCCTGGATGACATTGCAAGCTCAAATTCCACCAGCACGTAGTCAGTATGCATCTTTGCAAAGATATACCACTTATTCTGTATGATAGGTGTTAGTATGCCTGGGTCGAAACAGCACTGATAAGAAGATCAGTTTACTATTCGAATACTATGCGACTGATTAAACCAAAACAACAACTTTCAAAGAGAAGCAACGGAAATATACGATAGTGAGCTGGAAAAAAGCGCCTTGCGTGCCTAAGTGTAAAAGCTAAACAGCCAAATGCCCAGACCTACTACCAGCCTAGTCAATGGCATGCACGAGTTTCAGACAGGATATGGAAAATGCTGGTCTAAAGAAGAAACAAATCGGAAAAATGGTCGTATCTAATATGCCCATTTTATAATTTTTTTCATGATCCGTCACTCACGTCGCTGTAAACACAGCGCGTAGACTATTCCTGTGGTGCTTTTGGCCCTTTACATTGAGAAAAGGATCTTTATTTGGGGTCAAATTATTATTGGAAAATAACATTTACTCACGACCGCCCATTAATTTTAAGGTGACATACGGGGACTCCTCCTTTTAATCGATATGATTCTATATCCGATAAATACGACGCATATATTATGGAACAATTAAAGGAAGAAAGAATAATAATAGAGGAAAATCTAGTAAAAGGTGTCAATATTCACAATTTTTCCCCAAGAAAAGTGTACACTAGCTGCCCTAGTTAAGACTAATTATTAATTAAGGACTATAGTCCAGACCACTGTAAGTCACTGCAAGTATTAAATGTTCCCAAAAAATGAACACCTAAAAAAACCACATAGATACTACAGACTACAAAGATTTTCAGCGATGCAGAAGTTAGTTAATGAAGCTAATTAATTAAAAGGTATGACAAAGATATTCGTTTTTCTGGTGAACGTGTGTGACGCCTTGTAACTCATTCGGCGAACTTAAAGCTTTCTCGTAAATACCATTGATCAGCTACACAAATACAGCGCAGTCCTGAAGAACTGTCGAAACTATAGTTTAAGTTCATGGTATTTTCATTACACAGTTTCGATTCTTTATTATTCTTTTATGTCTGTATTACATTATAAAAATAATAAGAGAATATGTTCCAATCTATAGACTAAAAATTAGAGAATATGAAAAATTAAACAACATTGAGGTTATAAATACTTTTTTAGTTCTCTAAACATCTATAAATGTATAAAATATCAGTCACTTTAAAGAATATTTATAATAAATGTCATTCGAAGGATAAATGATTTGCTGCATTACAATGCGGAAACACTAGTTTAATTGCACACTCCTTTTACCCAGTCGCTTCACGTGACGGAAAAAATTGACATATTATCTTAAAAAATATTTTATACAATTCAAATTATTGCTTAACTACTCTGTTTTTTAATCCGTTCTACCAGCATCCTAGAAACTAAATATCTGAAAGGACCATTGTACTTCATGCAAACATTGACTAAATCATACAGGAAAATGAAGCATGATTGTTTCCAAAGGTTTTATAGATATTTAATAAATTTAAAATATTTAATAAAACGTTTTCCTTTCTTCATAATATCAGATCATTATTTGGCTTTACGTCTTGGTTAAAAAAATGATTACACCATTTTTTTAACTATCGAATTCAAAAGTTATTTATTATATTATAAATAAATCGATTTAATAACATGTTACACATGACGTTATCACAAATAATATAAGTTTATAAATTATTGAACCAAGTTTACTTAATTGTTTTTGTATTTTCTTTTTTATAAACATTGCCTTTATTGTAGTATAGCATTATCCTTTGTTGTGAGGATGTTTTACAAACATCAATTTCATGCGGCCTAACACACAGATGTATAACATTTATCTGTGGGTATAAATAGTTGTCGCGCACTGCAGCTCATAATTTGCCAACTGTGACACAGAGTCATCGTATTGTATACGATTTAAGTAAACTTGTTTTAATTATATACAAATAAAAAATAAGTAACAGTGTCAGTTCAAATATACAAATATAACAATACAAACATTTCATTACATAATAATACAACTCTTCTTTCGGTTCAACAAACCAATTTGATAAATAAACGTAAATTAATTATGACAGCTGCATGACAATTTCCGAAGCGATTATAATCCACATTTAAAAATACATTAAAAGTGTACAATTAATAATGTAACACTACAATTTCTAAAGATACAAACCAAGATTTTATGTTTTTTCCCACTTCAAATACATAAATAAATCTTTTCAGTAAGTCTAATTCATCTACAATTCTTTCTACAATTTATTAAACTTAAATTCTAACAGTATCGTCAAATGATTTAGGCACATCACATACTAAGCTTTAAGAACATACTTTTTATAGTAATACAATATCTCTAGCCCTGCTAAAAACAAACAAAATATTCAAGGCCAAGGCCCACAATCACATTCAACATAGATTACTAATAATTATAATACATGATTATTGGATAAACTATTTGAAAAAACAGTCAAATAAATAAAATACTTGAATTATTCTTAAATAAATGTAGAGATTATATATTAAATGGGACAATATTAATTGACCCTTATAATTTTTTTCTAGCAATAGAATAAATGATTTGGTCCAATAAAAAATAAGCATATCTAAATATCACAATATGATATTAACGTTTATGCTTTTATGGCTTATAAATAAAATTATTAATTAGTTGGATTTAAATTATCAACAGCCTCCATAAGACTCGGTACTGAGTCTACCTTCATTCCATTTCTGCGGAGTCCATTCAGTTCTTCAATCAGATGTGATTTATCCCTACCCAATGTCTCCCTGAAATGATTTTTCATTAGTAAAATTATCTAATTACTTTAAATCTGTTATTTTTCAAATCTCATTATTTCGAAAAAAGATACGATTAAATCTGATTCAAGCTACTTTCGACACTAATTTTTGCCGCATGTTTGATATTAAATTAAATCTTTTGGATAGAAGGCTCAATAATACAGATTCTACTACTGCATAAATGTTCCAGCTCAACCACAAAAGGGATCTCGGCTGCGTAGAAGGCGTGAGGTGAAAGTAATTATACGTCTGCATTGTATTTGTGTGTTTTTTCCTGTAAAATTGTAAATCGTATTTTTTTCGCTAAACTTATTCATTACTATAATATGATATAACGCCACCTCACAAAGTTGCCGGGTAGACTCCAATAACAACAATAAAAGTACTTCAAACATCTACGAGATGGCGCTATTATGACATTATAAGCATTACAGACATTTTTGAAACATCGCGTTATTCAAGATAGATGTCTTAAAAAATAAGTGCGACGGACTAGAGTTACTAGTTTTCTTTCTAATAATAAAGATGACATTTTAAATTGTTCTTAATATCAATATGCCTAACTGATTTAACACATTCAATTATACAACATAAATTACTTTCTGTAGAAAAAAGTCAGTAAGCGCAGTTTACATTAATGTTCTATCTGCTTTTATTAGAAGTTAATGGTATCTTAGTTATTGGTAGAGAAGGTTACTCATTCAAAAGTTCTAGAAAGAATCAAACATTGCAGATAGTGAGATGTTACAGGAGTAGGTTACTTTCCCATAGTTACATATTAATTTCACATTGATTTTATAATATAAAATTGGACGCAGTGAAACTTTCAAGTAATTTGTGTTGTGTTGAAGTTTTGGACATCACACATACTAAGAAAGATGATAATAGTGCAAAATACCATTAAAAAATGATAATACTTACCAAATAGATATGCAAGTATGGAGTAAAGGCACATATATAAGAAGCAAGTCAGAATCACTAACCGCTTCATAACGTCTTAGTGCGAGTTGTGCCCAGCGCTCCACTGGGCCCGCTAATGCACCTCCACTAGAACCAGCACAAGCTACAATACGGCAGAGGACACTCAGAACTACTCGTGATCGGTCTGTATAAACCTGTAATATACCATCAGTTTTACTGTCTTGGTAAGGTGAAAATTAAATACAATCTAATATATATAAAAATAAATAATGGCCACATAACAAAACATCACATCAATAAAAATTTTGTGTATTTTAAAATTATTACATAACTAAATTCTAATATTATATTGGGTTTATAAATTCTAAAGTCCATTATTATAATACATATTTTTCTGAGCACTGTCCATACAATGCTAAAGACTTATACAATATATTTTATATGTGCACCCAATTATTTAAAGTCCACATAATTTATAAAATATAGTATAGTTATAATCAATAAAGATTCAGCTTCTTATTAAATTACAAATTACTTGTATCTTAGCAACTTAATTTTTTTTTTTAAATTGAAATTTTAAGATTAATAATTTTAAAATTTGATATAAATCAAAACTTTCATGTGCCTATTATTTTAAACAAAATATTATACATTACCTTATTTAACAATTTAAAACTTGTTTCCAAGACAGACAATGCTTGATCAAACTTGCCCTCATCAATTAGTTTTTTTGCTTCATTCAACTCTACATCCTGGAAAAAAGCTATTGCAGCGGGGGCATTCCTGAGACGTGATTCACTTGCTATCAAATTCAACAATGACTCAAATGCAGAACAACGAGTTGATATTAAATTTGGATCAAAGTTTCCCATTAACATCTGTAAATGACAAAAGTTGCTAATAGTGCATATATTCATTATTAATTATTAAGTAAACTGTGACCTGATCTTAAAACCAAAAGATTAATCATATAAGAGTTACCTGTCCTTTGTAAGAGACAGCTAAAAGTAGACAATTACTAACAATCGGGATGTATCCATTTTAATTATCCATAAGTCGTCACATGTGCAGCAAAGGATTGAGGTTATTGTTGTGAAGGCAGGTTTAATTTGGCGATTTACTCAATTACAAAAAAAAAAGCACAACTACATGGACATCTACATGTATGATACATGTAGATGTCTAGTATACAATCTAAATTAGCATGTTCAAATCAATATTGACAGATATCCGTGAGGTAAAAAGTTATCCTTGAGATACATTAAAATATTTAAATAAAAATTTGTTTCATCAAAAATAAAAAAGGTTTCATTTAGTAAGGGTTGAATTGTTTTCATTACAATATTCGACTTTCACATATTTCTTTCATATATATTTAACAAGTGCAAACCCTGAATACAAATAAAATAATGTTTTAAATCGTATGACGAAAATACAAAGAGCAATAAAAATCTCAAGTGAAATAATATAAACAAAAGGAACTGATGTAATCATAAAATGACACATACTTTACGTGGAAAAGAGAGGTTGTTCAATAAAGCTGGATATTCTTTTTTCAGTCCATTGTAGAGATCCAAAAAGTGGGTGTATCTTCGCTCTACATTAGCTGGATCTGGATCAAATATGCGAGAATCTGTTTGATCTTGCCTTACTTGCAACATATAAGCTACAAATTTTTTCTCTTTGTCGCTGTCTACAACAGTTCTAGAGGAAACAATTGCAAATTTCAACATCTTTCTACACAATATATTCGTTAAATGAGATCCAATCACTTCACAGTTTAATATTCCAATTTACAAATATAATCATAAAATATATTCAAAAAACACGAATTTTAATAATTCACCAAGGTGTAGCGATGAATTTGTGACAAAATGTAAACCAATTTTGACAATGACAATAAAATAAAACAATAATACGCACACCCTACATACTCATAGTTAGTCGATACAAAATAGTATAGGATTATTAATTATTATAAATAATGAATAATCAATTAGTCATTTAACGATTATCGATTAGTTTGAAGTCATTAAGTACGTGTACATAAACATTTAGAGAAAATCGATTCAGAGTGTGAAACATAACTTTTATTTTTAATTTAAAAAATTATTAAAGTAAATAGTAGCAGAATGTGTTTTCTATTTCAGCCAATCACCCAACGTATATTTATTGTTTTAATAATTAATGTAGGATTGTAATCGATTTCATAGTTGATTATTTCTTTATGAAAAATCGATTACTCTGATCCACTTTTTGCGTTTCTTTAATTCTTAAAATGTTTCAAATATATAATGTAATATCATTATTCGCCAGACTGTGTTATATAATAACTGTGTTATTTATACATTAATTAATAGTTGAATTAGTAAAAAAAGAAGTATGTGTGTACTTATGTACTGACTTAAGAAGTTATACTTGTTTAAAGTAATAATTAATAAAAATTAAATGCAATTGGTAGCGGATCATTTTAGTTTATTGATAAATGCCGGTCGGGGTGCAGGCGAATCGTAAAAATTTTACCCTCATATTTTGTTCCAAACGCGCCAAATGAAGTATAAATTCAAAAAGTATGTGCGTACTTATGTTAGCACGTAAGACTACTATACTGTGGTAGGCTAATATTACGACCGAATAGATTAATCAATTGTTTTCTCTTTAGCTTTTTAGGGTTCCGTACCCAAAGGGTAAAACAGGACCCTATTACTAAGACTTCGCTATCTGTTTATCCGTCTGTCATCCAACTGTATCTCATAAACCGTGAAAGACAGCTGAAATTTTCACAGATGATGTATTCCTGTAGTCGCTATAACAACAAATACGAAAAAACAGAATAAAAAAATATTTAAGTGGGGCTCACATACAACAGACGAATTTTTTCCCGCTTTTATAGATAACGGGACACTTCGTGCGCGAGTCCGACTTGCACTTGGCCAGTTTTTTTTTTTTTGTATTTAATATTATTGTTGTCAGTAGCAGTTTTTTTAAGGTTTCTTTCCTTCTTTTTATTGAATAATACGAAGTACTTGATAGCTAAGGATTCACTTAGGTACATACAGCGTGTTTTTCAATCGCAACAATAAATGAACACACATATAGAGGATAACTTTTTAAAATTGTATTAAACATTTACATTCTTTAAACATCATGTCGCGGTGGTAACGCCACTGTATTCGCAAAAGATAATTAATAAAAGATACTCTGCTGATTGGTTGATGTTGTAATTCACGTAAAAATAGAATGAGCTTTTACATAAATTTATTCATACTTAATTTTCGTATAATGTGTAAATTATAAACATTACTTTTAAATTTTATTAAACGAAAAACTTAACGGTCTACGTCACCGAATACTATGTCTAAACTGGCAATGAGAATGCATACATCAGCCAGCATACACCTTCTGCCCAACACAGTAATTCCAGACAAGTGGTTATAAGAGCACGGTCGTAAATGAACACGATAAGGCTTTGACGTGCCATCTGCAACCATGTACAAGCCTAATTCTCCTTTAGGGCATTCAACAGCGGTGTAGGTGGCGCCGGGTGGCACCAAATAACCTTCGGTGCACAGCTTAAAATGATGTATTAGCGCCTCCATCGATGTCTTCATTTCGTGTCTCAATGGAAGTGATATTTTCGAATCATCGTTACGAATTTCGCCTTCGGGTATAGTATCGATCACTTGGTTAATAATCCTTATAGACTCCCGCAACTCGCATAATCGAAGTAAGTGCCTGTCATAACAATCCCCGAATGTGCCCACGGGTACATCAAAATCATATAAATCATACCCGTCATATGGATGTGCAATGCGTAAATCCCATTTGACTCCAGTGCTTCGTAGCATTGGACCGGTAAACCCTAAATTAAGTGCTTCATGAGCGCTAACTATTCCAATTCCAGCCGTTCTAGCGTAATATAATCTATTTCCTGTAACGAGGTCCTCAGTTTCATCGCAACGCTCGCCAAGCTTACTGCAAAACTCGTAGACATCGTCCAAAAATCCAATAGGCAAATCCATTACAACTCCTCCTGGCTTCAAATAGGCATTGTGGACACGGGCACCACAAAGTCGCTCGAACAATTCGTAAATTTTCTCTCTCTCCTCACACATCCAAAAGAATGGAGTTATGCCACCGGCATCTAACACTGTACCCGAAACATTCAAAAGGTGGTTTGCTATTCGTGATAGCTCGGAGCACAAAACTCTTATCGCTTTAGCTCTGGAGGGAACTTCTATGTTAAGCAACTTCTCAACTGCAATTGCATAACCCTGTTCATTTGCCATCGTTGAGACATAGTCTAACCGGTCCATAAAAGGCAGATTTTGATTGTAATGCTTGCTCTCCATCAGTTTTTCAGTTGCCCTATGCAAAAATCCAATGTGCGGATCCAGTCGAACAACGGTTTCACCATCAAGTTCCAGTATGAGTCTCAAAACGCCATGAGCAGCAGGGTGTTGCGGTCCAAAATTGATCCACATATTTTGAATCCTCCTTTCTATAGGCCTTATAATTCCATTATAAAATATTTTTTCATATTTATCTGACGTCTCAGTCTTAAAAATCCTTGGACCGGTAAATTGTTTTACAAATTCTACGTCGGGATACCACCGATGACCACGCGAAGGAGCATGGAGTTTTATGTATCTCACACTTCTTAAATTACAAGTATAGGCCAGTTTATGGAGCCGCATACTTTTTCGGTACCTATATAAGGTAAAAATTGTTTAAAAGTAATAACAACATCTGTCATTTCAAATTAAACTTTCACTTTTTGATAATAGTTTTTATATTTGTATAAACTGCCAGCAATTTCAAATTTATTACTAACGCCCGGTTTCTGACTATACTCTTTGAATTGATCATTCTGAGCATAAAGAAGATTATTCTGGTCAATTCAGAGAGTTTAACCATCCTTTTGGTACCTAAATTGTAATTTGAAATCCATTTGACAGCTGATTAGTTGACATCTACGATGATCAGTGTTTCAGAAACCGGGCGTATGGCTACTAGAATTATATACGGAAAAGCTAAAAAACTTTCAACGAAAGATAAAAAGTTAACTATAATAATGAAAATATTTGATTTAAAATTATTTTGGTAAAATAATTAAGTGACAAATTTCTAAAACAAGTAATTTAAATAGATTGACGGTTTATATTTCGATAAATCCTTCGCAATTATTATTATTTCCAATTTGTGTGATGACAACACCAGGGCTTATTAATTTTAATTTTTCCGTTGACTATTATTATAAGTATTTTAGACAGTATATATTGCATTAAGTATTCTATACATAATAAAAACGGCAAAAAATATCATGTCTGTTGTATGGGAGCCCGACTTAAATATTTTTTATTCTATTTTTTGTTATAGCGGCAACAGAAATACATGGTGTATTTCTGTGAAAATTTTAACTGTGTAACTATCCCAAATCAAGAGATACAACCTGGTGACAACGGACGGACAGACAGCCTTTTAGCCTTTGGGTACGGAACCTTAAAAATGTCTAATAGGTATGGGATTCTGGATTATTGTGACGTAAACGTATACGGTTAATTATCGTTATAGGACGCAATGTCCTATATAAGTCTATTTGTCTTATTAGGTTTAAGTTATTAAGAAGAACCTGATAAAAGCTTTTTTTTTTGGTTTTTCTTTTTACTTTATTTTTACGTTTTAATAACTTTACATATTCCGTCTAATCAAAGACAGAATCCATATTCATAACAATGGGAACGAACGAACATTATTTCCTAAAAATGGGGACCAGTCACCACCCATTAAGAAGAATGAAAGTCGATGGGGTTTCGTCGTTTATTTACTGAGTTTCTATGACCACCTCCCAGCTCCACCATCAGATCAGACCCTGGTAACTATCTAAAAATAAAGTACTCACAAAGACGAATCAAGCGAGCCGAAACTCGACGGGGTTGCGTCGTTTCATTACCAAGTTCTTATGACCACCTTCCAGCTCCATCATCAGACCCTGGTTACCATTGAAAGACAAACTACTCGTCAAGTCCATTCAAATGAGCCCAAACTCGATGTGGTGTTGTCGTTTCATTGCGAAGGTTTGGCCACGTTCATCATATCAGCACCATGTAAATCGCGTGACAAATCATAATAATGATTTGTCACGCGATTTACACAAGTATGCAAAATTTCAGCACAATCGGTAACTGGGAAGTGGATCAAATTTAATTTGCGAGATTTGATCACAAATATCGGACAGGTCAAATTCAATAGGATTTTGTTGTAAAAACGTATACTTACATTGTCCCATAAAATAATTAGTTATTCTATGTAGTCTAGTTGTGGGTATAAGTAATTTATGTTTGCTCATAGTACTTATATCATGCATATTTGCATGTCTTGAAAATTTATTTTTGTTTTTATGAACATAGGTACATAACATTTTCAAGTATGTACTGAGAAGCAACAGTCAATATTTTAATCTCTTTAGACAAATTTCTTAGTGAATCTGGGGCCCAGGGATAAATTGTATATAGATTTTAGATACGGGTTATAGGTTTTTACTGCTCGAATAGCTCTAAAAATAATGATATGTAAAATCGAAAATATCGACAAATATTGATTCATGGTACATAAGTGTAAAGAACATCATTTAACCAGTTTGTGACAATTCAAATAATCAAAATACATGGTGATACACAATATATTCATTTTGTGACATTGCTCAAAAATACGGGCATTAACATCAAATACACATCTCTATATATAAAAATGAATCGCTGAATATGTTGCTAAGCGCAAATCTCGAGAACAGTTGAGCCGATTTCGCTAATTATTTTTTTATAATATTTCTTGAAGTACGAGGATAGTTCTTAAGGAGAGAAAAATTTAAAAAACTGCCTGAAAAAGTCTAAAACAACACTATTCTATATTCCCGTACAAAAGATTCGTAATAATACTTCAAAGTCAATTTGAATTTTAATACCATACCCTAAATTTTAAGTGTTATTGGAGGGGTTCCGGGAAGGCAAAACAATTCAGTGACGTTAGTGTCGTTTAAATATTAATGTCAATATTTGTCAATATTTATACGATGGTAACATTACTCAAAAACAAATTGTTTAAGGTAAAATGTAAATTGTCTGTGGTAAAATTTCACTTGAAATTGCTTGAAATGTAAAGGTCTTTGCTGTGCATCATAGTACACTATACAGCGTGTCGTTACCATCGCGAGTTGTATAGGTGTTACAAATTTTGTTTCTTTTTTACTTTTTTGTTTCTTTTAGTTTGTTGGAAAAATATTTTTTTTAATTATAGATTTTGATTCACGTTAATATTTTTTTATGATTATTGGCAAGTAGCGTTAGACGTGTGTTCATTTATTGTCGCGATGGTAACGACACGCTGTATATTAAATTGTCAAGGTAAATTAAACCATTTCCGCTGTTCAGTTGATTTATTTTGATTTCATACTGCTAACTTGATTAAATATAGTTGTTTGATATAAATATTTTTCCACATAAAATACAAGTAAATCAGATAAAAAAAATAATATCGAATGCACGTACTTATACGTATACGTTTTGAAGGGAAACCAGAGTGCACGTACTTAGAAAAAACTATTTCCGTAATGAAAGAATTTCTATAAAATAAAAAGTTGATTTATCCAATGCAGTCTCTTCACTTGTTTATCTTTTGGTTTTATCACAATTATTATAGGCATTATACAATATACAACATTTTTTAAAATAGTTTCACGAAAAACTAGTCCATTGGATATACAACACAAAACTTCAAAAAATTTTGTACATCGGTTACCTGTTGCACTTGACATTTTACAAAAACTTATGTTAGGTATTGATAACTTGTGACTAAGTAACATACCAATTCATTATAGGTAATCGTTAATGAATATTCAACGACAAGGTGTATTCAAAATAATCAAATTGTTTGTTCAATATTTTTAAATTCAATAAAGTACTGAATCTGTTCTTAATTAAAAAAAAAAAATAATATACAGAGAGCGTTCTGTTAATTTGGCTTATTCATTTGAATAATTTGATGGTAAGCCTACGGCAATAGTTTTATAAAGTTCTGCATATCATAATAGTTTTTTTCCAATTACGTGCCTTATTGTTTTTGTACTTTGTGGACACAACTGAAATCTTTTTAATAGGTTTTAGTCCTTCGGAAAATTTCATGAATCAAAATTCTATTTATTTTGTATTATTTAAGAAGCAGATACAGAATTTACCATAAGCGATAAATCATTTAAAATTCAAGCCTGGAACAGTCCGGGACATAAAACAAACCAACGGAAAAGAATACAATGAAAATATCGCCGTAAAATAATTTTATGATATATTTTAAAGCCATCCGTATTTGTGTTTCAAATTACATCACTGATAGCAACGTTGTTAATGTCAATAGATCCATATGAGAGAAATTTAACTTAGTCTGAGTATTGAAAGTAGCCTCGCCATAAAAAATAATCATCTAGTTATATCTCCAAAAACAACGGAAGTAACTCCTCCAACAAATCAATGAGGGTAAAAATGAAAGTGTCCCGCCCTGGAAAGTTTTTTTTTAATTTAACTTTATTTTTAACAATTTCAAGCTGTTACAGTTATTGTATATTAAAAATTAAAAGTACTTAGTTTTACGATTACTAATTATATATAATAGAAGACATTTATATTCATGTTTCGGAGTTACATTGTAATTGTGTTTTGAAGCTAAGATTTGCCAACAAATGAAGCTTCCTTCTGATAAAAATATTTCTTACTAGACATGTATGCTCATTATCAACATAAAGATAATCTCATTTCTTTACAAACAAGCATTGATTGTATGAATAAAATGTTTTATAAAAAAATGCAAACTCGTAAAAAATTTGCCTTAATGTTAGACACCTAATATTTATAAAAACAGATAAGCAAATTGTCTATCCGTAGTACTGGTCACCTTGACTGTATAAATATTAAAATTTGCTTTATTTCTAGGAATAATCTTCTCAATAAATAATTATATAAAAGCTTCGTAATCAAATGTAAAAAAAAGATAAAAATGTATCAGTTCCTATACTTCGTGGACGTAAAAATTTTTCCAGTAATGAATTATGTGAAAAACAGAAAAACTTAAGCGTATTTATAGCGTCGATGTTTACGTGTAATTTTTAAGCGAACACTGCACTTGTATTAAGTATTATTAAATACAGATATACTATCGACTTATTTTAGTCGATATATTCAATTTGTATATACCTACGTACATTAAAGTACGTATAAAGTTACGAATATGTATCTATATTAGACATTTTCTATATGTGGTGTATCGTTCTATATGCGTTAAGTGAATACAATAAATAAGTGTCACGATATAATATTGGTCCATTACTTCACATGTGTTAAAACGTATATCATATATATTGACAGTCTAATTGTTCATTTTCTCTATGGAATCAAGGTAAACACAGGAGCAGAGTTTCTGCATGAACCTTAGCACGCAGCCGGAGAATTTGTGGTAGCTGTCCGGTTTAGTTTTCCATCTGACGCATAGATAGTAGACCGGTATACCGGAGAGCATAATGGCGATGCCTATCCCTGTGTCTTTGGGGTTGGTTATGGCGGGAATTATCACCAGGCATCCAATAGCCACCAAGAAGAGGCAAGGTATGACGATGTTCACTTTGATCGGTCTAGGAATGTCCGGTTTCGCTTTACGCAGCCAGAGCATACCAATAACCGAGGCCCCTACAGACAGCCACAGAGTTTGCGAGAAGTAGTTTATCAGATCGAACACGTTGCTAGTAGTCAGCATCAGTAATGAGATCAGGCACTGAAATAGAAATTATGGGTGTTTAGGATATGGTTTTTATCATTAATAATAATAACATCATATTATACATAGATTCCCGATTGATATTTAAAACGGAAATCATAAGTATTTATATATATTTACTAGCTGACTCGACAAACGTTGTTTTGCCATATAAGTTATTTCTAGGGGTATCGGAACGCACGTATAAAGTGTTTGACATAGTTGACAGGTACAGTTTGTATGGGAAAATAAAATTGTTGCTATTTCGGTTTCCCATGCCATTTTTCCATAATTTCTCATCGTTTAAACCTTCCCTGGACTGCCATAAATACTTCAAAACCAAAATTAGCCAAATCGGTCCAGCCGTTCTTGAGTTTTAGCGAGACTAACGAACAGCAATCCATTTTTATATATAAGAAGATTATACTAAGTAAACTATAGTAAAGTAACAGCCTTTATATGTCCCACTGCTGGGCAAAGGCCTCCCCTGTACAAAGGGTATTAGGGCATAGTCCACCACACAACCACACAACGGATTGGCGGATTTCACATATCTTCGAAATATTTTTTTTGTTATTATTTCGAAAATATAGATTTCCTCACAATGTTTCCCTTCACCGCTGAGTACGTGATAAGTCATTACTTAAAATTAACAATTACATTGCTGTATGCACTGGAGATCGAACTCAGGTTGCTCGAGTATAATTAATCTAAAGCGAGCACCCGAACAATGAGCTATCACGACGCTACGACGAGGGATCAAAAAGTAGGAAAAAATCTTGAAACGTTCTTGGTAGGAAAAAATATAAATACTGGCAGGCATAGCTCAGGTACATATTTGTAATTTTAATAAAGAAAAAAATTTTCGAATTTGTTTTGTTTTTTTCTGAATGTAGTCATTTGTTTGCTTCGTGTCGGAACGTGTTCTCGAAAATGGAGAAAAACGAAGTGCGAGCCGTTATTAAATACCTCTGTTTAAAAAAGTTAACGAAGCAAGAGATTCATTGCGATTTGGAGGCAAAATTAGGAGAGTCTGCTCCGCCGTATTCCACTGTCGCAAAGTGGGCTTCTCAATTTCGAGTAGGGAGAACGAGCACGGAATACGAACATCGTTGCGGCCATCCATGGACGTCAGTCACCCAAGAAAATGTTGCGAAAGTCGAGAAAATTGTATTGAGCGGTCGAAGAGTTACCATCCGATACTTAATTAAAGAAACGGGCGTTTCATATGGAAGTATTCGATCCATATTGAAACATTTTGATCTCGAGACAAAACAGCAATCACCGCAATGGAAATGGCCATCATCACCGACCCCGAAGAAGTTTCGTGCCGTAGCATCGGCTGGCAAGGTTATGGCCTCAATATTTTGGGACTCAGAAGGGATATTGTTGATTGTTTACCTGGAGCGTGGAACCACTATTACAGGCCAATATTATGTAGCTTTAATTCCCAAGTTGAGGAAAGCCATCAAAGAGAAAAGGAGAGGGAAAATTCGAAGGGGAGGAGAGGGAAACTTCGTTTTCATCACGATAACGCACCCACACACAGGTCGGCAGTTGCGATGGCTTCGAATTGGTTGACCACCCCCTTATTTTCCAGATCTGGCGCCTATAGACTTTTATCTGTTCCCCAAATTGAAAGAATACTTAAGGGGAAACAGATACGAAAACGATAACGAGGTGATGGATGCCGTGGAGAGCTTTTTGCAGGACCATGACAAAACTTTTTTTTTTTATGGGATTGAAGCCCTGGAAAAGCGCTGTACTCGGTGTGTAGAGAGACTCGGAGACTATGTAGAAAAATAAATTATTAAATTATCAATAGTCATTTATATATTCTATCTCATTCTCACCACTTTTTAATCCCTCCTCGTATATATTATACTAAATAAACTTTATTAAAATGACATGAATTAAAAATATTGAAGTTTTGCTGTTATTTTGAATATACAACGTGTCCCAAAATTCAACGATAAGCCAACACCGGAGAATAGACCTGCCCCGGACTAATCGGGGAAAAAAAGAAAAAAAAAATATATCCCAATTATATTTCAAGTTATATAAAAAAAATGAAATTCTTCAGAAGTTGAGACCGTTTATGATATTTTTCACTACTATGACCACAATTTTTTAAATATTTTTTCTTTTTCTTTTATAGGCAACCTGAATAGTACTGCTATCTACCACAATTCTTAAAAACTCCAGAATAACTCTTGTTTTATCACGAAAATTAATGAAACTTATTTTATTCCCTAAATTTTTTGAAGACTTTTACTTTTAACAAAATTTAACTTATCGTGGTGTAAAAAAAAGTATGAACACTAGTATGGCAAGTTTTTTTAAAAATTGACGCAACTAACCAACATTCCAAAATGGTATAATACTCTAGGAAAACAAGTTATAAAAAAATATGGGCCTATTATTTCTAAACAACGGTCGGGTGTAATAAAAGTATTAGTTCTTGAAAAATGTTTAATATTTCAAAACAAATGGTACAAACAGTTTCACGTGTAATTTATTAAGAAATTAACATTATAGCAAATGTTCGAACTGTTTGCCACCAGCATTAATACATGCACGACATCGCCTTAAAAATGATCGTTTTATTTGTCTTGCATATCTTTTGCTATTAATGTAATCAGCAGCCTGATTGATATTTCGACGAAGCTCGTCCAATGTCACGATGGGTTTTGAGTAGACCCTGTTTTTAAGACAACCCCAATAGAAGAAGTCCAGCGGGTTCAAATCGGGTGAACGGGGTGGCCATAAGATAGGACCAAGTCGCCCGATCCAACGCTCTGGATACACTTGATTTAAATATTCTCGCACAGGACGGGCATAATGTGCTGGGCAACCATCATTTTGGAACCACATGTTTTGAAGATCACTTAAGGGCACGTCGTTTAACAATTCTTGCAAGTCATTTTGTAAAAAGTTTAAATAACTATTGCCATCTAAGTTTCCTTGTAACTTAAAGGGCCCAATTACTTTTCATGCATATTAGCGTATTCCTGTGGTGTGTACGGCATGTTAAACGCCAAACAGTCCAAAATGCGCCAGAACTCTAAATCACAAAACACACAATCGTAGTCCAAGATAATGTTCAGTTTGTTCAAGATAATGTTCCAGGTCAGTTCAGTTTGCAGATCACTTCCAGTCCAAATAATGCCAGGGCAGTTAAGTTTGCAGGTCGATTCCAGTCCAAAAAGCCAAGCCAAAAGTCGATAGTATGTACGAAGGCCACGTAAGTTGAATTGGGAACGGTGCGCAGTAAACAAAGGAGCAGAGCGTACTGAACCGACTTGCTGAATAATAACAGCTTCTCTACCTGCCCTGTTGTTGTCTCTTTTTAACGTAAATATCTCTATCTATCTATCTCTCCCTAACATCTAAGGTATTAATGCCCCATTCGAATTCCTAGAAATTGTAACAGGAACCCATTTTGGGCATGTAGTAAAAGTGATTACTGACAATTACAATTTAAGGAATTTGGCCCCTGTTTAGAAATAATAGGCCCATATTTTTTTATAACATGTTTTCCTAGAGTATTATACCATTTTGGAATGTTGGTTAGTTGCGTCAATTTTAAAAAAAACTTGCCATACTAGTGTTCATACTTTTTTTTACACCACGATAAGTTAAATTTGGTTAAAAGTAAAAGTCTTCAAAAAATTTAGGGAATAAAATAAGTTTCATTAATTTTCGTGATAAAACAAGAGTTATTCTGGAGTTTTTAAGAATTGTGGTAGATAGCAGTACTATTCAGGTTGCCTATAAAAGAAAAAGAAAAAAATATTTAAAAAATTGTGGTCATGGTAGTGAAAAATATCATAAACGGTCTCAATTTCTGAAGAATTTCATTTTTTTTATATAACTTGAAATATAATTGGGATATATTTTTTTTTCTTTTTTTCCCCGATTAGTCCGGGGCAGGTCTATCCTCCGGTGTTGGCTTATCGTTGAATTTTGGGACACGTTGTATATATATAATAAGACATTGTATTTTGGTATGTTTAACAAACTAGATGATAAAACAACGTCTGTTCAGTATTAGGTACATATAGATCTGCCAACTCAATTTACCCGAAGATAAAATACTCCAGTGAAAAGTTGCTTCCGCATGCACAGCTGATTATAAGTAGTTTTAATAAACTTTCTCTTATCTAAATAAGACCGGCCAAGTGCAAATCGGACTCGAGCCCGAAGGGTTCCAGTATTACCATTATCCATAAAAACAGCAAAATATCAAGTCTGTTGTATGGGAGCCCCACTAAAAACATTTTTTCATTCTGTTTTTTAGTATTTGTTATTATAGCGGCAACAGAAATACTGTAAAATTTCAACTGTTTAACTATCACGCTTCATGAGATACAGCTAGGTGACAGACAGCGTAGTTTTAGTAATAGGGTCCCGTTTTACCCTCTTGATACGGAACCCTAAAAATCATGTTCCCACAGCAATAACAATTTAGTCGAAATTGTACATCAATGTGTAGTCGGAACTCAGGGGAGACAGCGATAATACTGGCGTGAACGAAAGGGCAATAGTCTCGAACCGCAGGAATATACTCGTATAATCTATACAATAAATCAGCTTGGCGACGTTTGCGTTTGCAGTAGTGTACGGTCAGCAGATAAATAATTAAACCAGTACTTTTTATCTTTTTTTATCTCTTTAGATATAGGTGCATAGTATATTAAATGTGATTTTTATTTAGTCATATCACAATCACAACTCCACAAATTTCTGAGAACTCCTGTTGAAAAGAAGTTGATGGAGGCAAATGGAGTCTGTGTTCAGCAGTGGACTTAAACAGGATGAAATGATGATGATGGTAATTACAATAAATTAAAATGTAAGCAATGAAAAATAATGGGATGATGACATGACTTCTAACGCTAACGATCGGTAGCTATAGTCTGACTGGCCCTTCCACACAAAATACAACACAACATAAACGGCGCTCACAGTGAAGAACAGTGAGGGGATCGGCGTTTGCCTCTCGATGTGGAAGAGCGAGAAGAAGGCGGGCATGTGTCCTTCTTGGGCGCCGGTCGCGAAGAGCCGCGCGGACGTGAACAGCACGCCGTTGACACCGCCGAAGGTCGAAAGCGCCACGAACACCGGGATCAGCCAGCTCCAGCCGCCGAACAAGATGTCGCCGAACACCTTGAGACCTCAAACAATTAACTCCGCCCGCGGCATAACATATAGAAGTATAATAGTACTTCCTAATTCTTTTAAACTTTATGCTTAACGCCGCGGCTGGTGACAAGGGAGCTGGTTCTTTTCTCAAACGTTAAGCATAACTATTCAGCGAGGAAATGCAGCCAGCGTTTTCTTGGCACCATGCCGCGTGGTTTATTAGATATTATGTAATTTTAGATAGATTTAATCTTGTAAATACATATATCGCACTTCCTAGATAATAAAACAGATTCTAGACATTCCTTCGTCGAAAAACGCCACATTGCTTGCAAGTAAATTGATAAAAGTTTTGTTTTAGATTGTAGATTGCAGACGCATAGGACGTTTATAGTTGAAAATTTACTTGTATTAAGTTATAAAATAATCATTACTAAATAAATTATTAAGATATATTTTAGCCGTGCAACTTTGGTGACTATCAATTTATATTAAAAGCTTATTATTTCTGGCACCTTTCTCTAACTAAGTTATATAATAAATAATACGTTATTTTTGATTTGCAAACTTAAATTAGACCAGAATACGAGAAGCAGGCCCTGAAGTAAAATAAGTATAATGTGTTAAAAGCCGAAATAAACCATTGTATTTGCTTGAAGTATGTTTAGAGAACATGATATAATACCGCAAATTTCAGCAACAATGATGACCTTTTCGGTTGATAACGTAACACCTATGCGGAAGTAGGTCTTAGAATGTCGCTGAATTAACCAACGAATACAGTTAAATTGAACGAGATGTTTGTTTGGCAACTAAAGTATGAATAAAAGGTTATTTTTAACCAGTAAAAAAGTTAAAATATTTTCGTTTATCCTAGTACTAATTGAATACAGTCTAACATTAGACCTTACAGTCATTCAGTTTCAGCCGTGACAACAGTGTATATAAATCAAGGAATATAAAAATAATACGATACATACGTATTACGTAAAAATTATATAAATTTTATACGATTGGAATTTTATTAGATATTTTAATTATTATAATTTTGTACGATTGGAAAAGTTAGGTCCACACCTAAGTCTTTCGTGTGATAATGCAATAGGAAACTTATCTCTGCCTACAACCGCTCGATTAGAGGGGTCAATGTCGATTTATTTAAAATGTCGCTGTCGTTATGAAATAACGAAAAATAGTTAATACTAACTATAACATAACGCTAAACAGAGATCTAATGCGTTTTGTTCGTAGTTTCGGCATACATAAATTTCAATTTTCAACAAACATATGATATATTAAACTCTTTTAATTAGTAAATCGATCTATTTACATAAATATTAGTTTTAGTTTATGAAGATAAATTTATTTTGCTTAGCAAAAATAATTTCGTGGAAAACGAAGAAGTGAATGTAGAATATGTGTGTGAATAAATTAATGAAAAAATTGTGTATGACAATAAAATTGTGCACAAATGTAAAACTAACATGTGTATTCTATAAATATAATGAAAATCATATTACTTTGCGTATAAAACTCCAAGGTTGACATTCCACCGTCCTATTAATACATTCTGCTAGGAAAATATTACGAAAAATGTTCAAAGTCGGTAACTTACTGAATTCCTAATGTCTATTTTAATATAAGTATTTGAACTTGTGTTAGTTACTTAAGTAACAGTTCCTAGCCATATTATTACGGGGATGTGGTTTAAAAACAATAAATATTTTATGTTAAAAAGAAAAACAGTTCGATTTTTCATTGCTCTATTCCACTATTAGCCTTGAAAGATAATGGCCATAGATACTCATAACATTTGTGCCGTATCCGTAATATTTATCAGTTGTCGTGAAATACGATTTGTCTTACTGCCAAATATCATCAGCCGGACTCTAATTGACATTGTGCTACATCTTAATACTTGATATTTAAAAGATCTTTTAAACTTTTACTTTTAATTTAAAAAAAACCGCGTTAAAGATAGACTAAGATAAAAATGAGTAACGAGGTGTCACTTACAACAGCCACAGCCGTATTTGACTTCATATCCATTTTGGAGACAACAGCAAAGTAGGCCAGGTTCGCCATCACGTAGATGATCGTCACCATTGGCATTGCGATCCAAATGGCACGTGGCAAGTTTCTGAAGAGAAACAAGATATTTTTTTAAACCCCAAAATTTTCCTCGCTGCTAGAACACGAATATTCATCTTCCCGGTAACACGTGAAATTAAAGTTAACGATTCCTAATATCCATTTATTATTGATTACCTGTTCTTCGCTTCCGTCTAATGGATATTAGCTCAATAGACAGCTTGTATTTTTTATAACTGTTTGAATTAAATGTTTAGTGAAATTGCTTTTATATTCCACTAACCGTAATGTCTCATGGCGGATTCTTATACCAACAGCAAAGAGGAGTCATTTTTAAGATGATTATGATATTCACAACTTGCACACATTCCGTAAATACACTAGACTCACTAGAGGTAACTTTAGAAATGGCCTGAAAACAATTTTATCTACAGTGCAATCGGTGAAAGGTAATAAAGGTAGGTTTTTCTACATTTCACAAATGGGTTCTTAGAAAGAGCCATTTACCACCAAAATCACCGTATCCCTTTGGAGGTAAATGCAATGATATTAGTCAAACACGAATGACACTTCGATTCTATCAAAAAAGGAGATGAAAGTATTTCTGACCCACCGGGAATCCCCTCCCAACACAATACAAACATTTCGTTGCTGCGGGAATCGAACCTACGTCTTCCGGATTCGCGCCCAAACGCATTAACCACTAAGGTAAGCGGCCGATTGCCACAAAGACGAAAATCTCAATACATTTTATCTACATTGCTATGACATAACGATAAATGCGCCAAGGGTTGATTAAAATGCAATAAAAATGCGTAAGATTTGCACAAAATTCAAATTTTATATTAAATTTTATGAACACCGTACACAGAAAAACTCGCTCTCGTAAAACATAAATAATATCGCGTTTCATATCCAATTATTATATATTATTTGTTAGTCATTTCATCAAATAAGATAAAACGTTACTATCAAGGTTGCGTTTCCAATACGTTTTCTCGATAATAATATCCACGCCCTCGCCCGTGAGTAACGACGTAAGTTGAATAATTCACGCAATAGTGTAAGTGGAAACGGTAAGATAAGACGATCCTCGTGTTCTCCGAAGCGGAAACGGTCGCCGCATAAACAGACCGACAGTAAGCGTTCAAGTATCTTCGGAAAACGGCGTTGCGACATAACTCGTGAACTATAATGCAATTGGACGGATTTGTTCGTCGCTTAAATATAATTATAGAATAACTAAACTGCGTATTTTTGATCATTCACTGGTAACTGGTATAAATCTGTTGGCAATTGTATATACCCGGCATGAACTATGAGAAAACCTACATTTTTTTCTTTTTTGCCTTTCTTCTTTTTTGCCTTCAGCGGCATTGACTGTCAATATTACGCTGAGGTGTTCCAATAGTATAAAACCTATTGCAGAAGGGTGATGTTTTATCCCCGAAACTCTTCACCGCTGCATGGGAAGCTTCTGGACGGAAAGGACGTAGTAATAGCATCAACGGCAAATACATCACCCACCTTCGTTTTGTTGCCGACATAATTATCATGCAGAATCGCTGAAGAGCCTTGGTACTATGTTCAAGATCCTCAAGAGTGACTCCAAACGGGTGGGCCGTAAGATGGAAAAGACGAAGATCATGTCTAATATCCATGTCACGCCTATATCGGTTGTTATTGGGAGCACTATGCACGAAGTTGTTGATAAGTATGTTTTCCTAGGACAGGTAGTCCGTTTAGGTAAGTCCAACTTTGACGGAAGGGTCAGTTGGCGAATCCAACTCGGATGGACAGCGTTTGGGAAACTTCGGCATATTTTCTCGTCGAATGATGACTTACGGATCTGAGACTTAATCCTTGACTGCTTACCGTATGAGGAAGCTCAAAGTAGCTCAGCGAGCTATCATCAGGATTAACAATTTCCTTCCGGAGAGTTGAGAAACAGAACTAACAAGTGAAAAATAAATTAGTTGAAAATAGCTAAAAAAAACACGCTTTACCTAATGGTAAACCTAACTAAAATAAAAATAAAATTCAAAATAAGGATAAAGAGTTAAACAAGAAAATTAATGTCATTTTTAACTCTAATTTATGAACTTATAATATATTTAAGATAATTAAAGAGATATATGATAACCACGCAGTATTTCTATGTCATTCCAAACATTAAGAAATAAATGACATGTCTATTACTTAAGTATTGATAGCGGGTCTCAACCTACTTCTCCTCGAAGTGAAAGCCAATAGCACACTTTTAGATGCTGAGTATTTGAAAACCCCTCAGGGGAGACACTCACAGAAGATTAAACGATTTTCCACTCTTTCACTTTAGCTCTTTGAAGAAACGACAAATACTACTGCAAATACATACAATAAATGAATCTTATTGTATATATTTGATAATTAAGTTTACTAGCATAATAAACTACATTTAGATAATAATGAAAAAAGTAAGAAAAACCAGCCAATATACACGCGATGTAATGTATGCACTATTTTTTAAGAAGCTTTTCATGAATCAAACTTGATTAAACGTTTTGCAATTGCATTAGGTAAAAAATATCATTTAATTAATTTGATAAAAGAAAACCCAAACATCGTTAAAATATTAATGTTGTTCATACTATAAGTGTTTTATTAGAAGTTTTAATTTATGATTTATTTATGATTTAGATGTGTATGGTATATCCGCAGGAGATCCTGCAGTGAGGTTTTAGACGAAATAAAAATTATTTAATTTACGAACGTATGAGTTTAACGATTCAATTTTACGACGAGATGAAATCTGTTTTTAAATCACAATAAGTCGTTAAATTCAAGCGACGTAAAAACAACCGCTATACGTAAGCGCTGTTTAATCCAATCGCTATATATTATTTTAACTCATGATTCACGGATTGTTATACTCTGATATTAGATATGAAACGTAACATATAAATTAAAACCTAACGGAATAGAGATAAACAGTTCATTCAGCCCCAAAAGTAAGCCTTCTCGGCTTATACCAAGCATAATTGTCTCAGTTATTTCCATAGTCATTCATAATATACACATATATATAATAAACTAGCTGCTGCCTGCAACTAAGTCTGCGTAGAATAGGCTGAAGGCGTAACATTCAGACAGAAAGGCATATATATATATATATATATATATATATGCAAATAAATAATAGCCTATGACTTATTCTGATGTATAAGCTATATTATTGTAAAGTTTCATTAAAATCCATTCAGTGATCATTTATGATAAAGAGTAACAGACATATATACATACAAACTTTCGCGTTTGTAATATTAATTATAAATTATATTATATAAGGAAGGATGTTAAAAACGGCCATCAATAAATTGTTCATTCACATTGAACGCAGAAAACGTATTGCGCAAATGTATGTAGGGATAATTAAAATTATTTTCTCATTGGCATTCCAAACGGAGCTTTCTACAGAAGGGAAAATAACAGCTATCTAATACTTTCGCCGCCCTTAATATCGTAATGTTTACATTTTTTGTTGTGGTTACCTACCAACTTAGCTACAGACTTTCCATTTCATCGCGCGTGACGCTCTCTGGACAAAAAAACCCTAAATAAGGAATGTTTTGCATGCACTAACAACGATGAATATAACTAAATGTAAATAAACCACACCGTAAATCCCATTGAGCACAATAAATATAATGTTTCGTTTTATAAAATAACAACTTTAATTCACCTTAAAGCGGTCTTTTTACAAACAGTCCTGTACATTCATACCTGGGAACTCTACTTTTGTTAATTTATTTATTTGATCTTTATTGCACAAAAATTGTATAAAGGCGAATTGGATAAATGCTTAATTCTAACCTGAATTCTTTACCAACTAACCCTAGGTTAAAAAGAAAAAGTAAATAACTACTTTATAAATATTTAAGTTATTTGTCTGAACAGTGAAACATTTATTTATTGTTTGTTACCACAGCATTGCTAACATTTATTACGTGTAATATAAAAATAATGAATTTTCTAAAAACAAAAAAATACGCTTGTCAATAAAGTCAAATATTAGTTGTTTAGGTTAACCTTCTCACAAATATAAACGGAGTCCATTTTAGGAGTAAGTACTTATTGAATTAAAAGGAAGGAAGCGGGTTAATCCGATTTCCAGGCGGGGGTTCCCGGGTTAATAACTCGTAGCTGATAATGACGTCATCGCCTGCAGAAGGAGTATTGCTAATACGGAGATGTATTAAGTTCTCTTACATTACTATATATAGTATTAATCTCAATTTGTGGCTCGTAAGTATAAAACACCAGAGAAAGACAAGTAAATAAGTATCAAGGAAAATAACGTCTCGAAATTGACAATAGTAAAGTTTGGAAGTATTGAAAAGTTTATAAGAAGTTGACTATTAATGAATGATCTTGAGTTTAAGTTGTATTTAAAAAAAAATGGGGTTAGCAAAGGTTGAGTGTATTACCGTTTTTTATACGTTAATATGACGCGTATTTCTAAAATATAATAATGAAACTAATATATTATATAGGTACTATATACCTATTGTCGAACTTTATAATTAAAGAAGTTCTTCAACAGCGAAACAGTGTGTCAATAGTATTTTCCATTATCTCGACAGAATGCAGAAAAATGTAATCTGTAGAAGTTGAATATTTTTAAAATTTCAATGGTGCTACTTTAAGTAGGTCTATTGTTCCTTATGTGTCTGTACCAAATAAAAATTAAAAAAAAAATAATTTTTACGTCCAATCACGTTTCGCTGTGTGTTATATTGTGGTTATAAACGATTAACCGCTCAGAGCTGCCTGTACCGCAGTCCTTTGTAATTATATTAATTAATAATGACATCATTCATTTTCTAAGTACATATATTCATACTTTATTATACCGTAAGACCTATAGAAAATTTTTTGAATTTTGACATCAATTTATCGTGTTGTTTGCCTGAGCCTACGGGTACGCGACCCCGGGTTCTTCGAGTTTTACCTTTGTTCCCTGGTCGTTCCATTACAGTAATTTCCAATCACCCATCCTAAATCCCTTCTTAATCGAACTCGAGTCTTTTTCGACGAGGTACTGAAAATCAGGCAAGATCAGATTGAGACGGCCCTAAAACAGCTTAAGCTCAGAAAGCTCCCGACGTAGAGCTTTTGAAGGCTGTAGGAAAACCAGTACTTCGCGAGGCAATCTCTGTTAAAGAATTACCGGCCTAACTCACTCCTGAGCCACATATATAAGTTGCTTTCGAGATTCATCACAAAGCAACAAGCAAGCTGTTTTCAAGGGCCATCACAAACCCTTCTGCAACCAACTCGCAAGAAAACTTGGCGAGTTTCACCCGCAGTGATGCCAAGTGGACTATCAGCATATGGCGGTAATGTGGCAAGGTGTCTGTATGAAGCTGTGACGAACGTTTTTGGACCATCATCCTCAAACCAGTCGTCTAAGTTCCGTTTGACTTCAGCGGTGAAACGGGCAGGGGAATGTGATTTCTCCGAAACTATTCACTAATACCCTGGAAGATATATTTAAGGCAATGGACGGAGAGGTCCAATGCATCAATGTGAACGGTAAGTACATTCCTATCTAATACTCGTATTTAATCTAATATTTGCCCATGAAATTGTCTTGTTGGCGAAGTTGCTGCAGGATTTACAACAAATGCTCACCGAACTAGCCGAAACCCCTAGAAGAATTGGTCAAAGGTCTGATATGATCCAAATTGAGGTAATCCGACAGAACTCGAAGAACGAACAGCCGATGAAACAGACAAGTTCTTTAGTGGAGACTGGACTTGGGCAAGCTTAGCGTAGGACGCTCTCATCCCAGATGGAGTGATGACTTGCTTAAGGCGCAAGATCGAATCATAAGGCGTGTCCTAAAAGAGACTTACGTCCAGCAGTGAAACACTAAAAACTGATGATGACCCATTTTTTTGATAATTTATAAATAAAAGAAAAGATGAAACGAAAATCGCCCTCGGGAATTAAGACTATTAAGACTTAACGTACATTTAATTTATTTATTTAGAAAGTGTATTGGTAGATCTTTGAAAATCGCAAATTATGGTATTTAATGGTACGTAATGCTAATTGACGTCTTAGGGTGCGGCGGCTATGAGTTATAATAACCTGCGACCTATACTGTAATTATTCGGCACCTTTTCTAACAATGAAAGTTTAATTTTCAATTTCTCGTTTGCACCAACTTGTTTATGTTAACTTAAAAGCCAATTTCGCCCCTTATTTTAAACTCTTACTTCTCTAATATTCATAGAATAGATCTTTCGTAAAATTATAGGCAATTTCAACTACGTTATGTTTCCATTTAATCGGTGTGCCATTAATTTTTTTATAACAGAAATCAAATTATAATCACAGATAAATCTTATAGCACTATTCATATAAAAAGGTAATTTGAACGTTTCTTCAAGAACCGCAGCATAATCGCTCACCTGCAACCACATTCCACTCTCGCACTATGTTATTTCATCCAATTGGAAGCTTTTATAAACTTTCCTTCTATTAAAGTAAAGAAATGAGTAATTGTATAACTTTAGTTTTCCAACTAGCGTGTCTTGACAATTTATAGAAATTCATTTACCGAGGAAAAATCTATGCAATTTTTTTATAATGATCATAAAAAACTTCTCCCTTATCTGATTCGTGCCGTAAAGTAATGATGCCTGTAACAACACCTATCGAGCGTGGAGACTAGGAAGGAAAAGATTAAATGCATTTTAGATTTAAAGTTAAAAAAATAGATTTCAATGAAGTCCAACTCTTCAATCCGTTCTCTTGAATTAATTTTCACCTCCAGTAACATTTATATTTTATTGTATGGCCAATGCTTCCCAAAAGCAAAAATGAGATAACATATTTCATAATGTCATACAGCAACGATGTCCGCGAACATCGATTAAATGTTAGCCTGAATCACTGCTATTTTAGTGAGGCGAGTCTATCAATCACATAAGCCTAAGTATGATAGAGTAATTTTAGTCGGAACAAGATAAAGCACATAAACGCAAGATACGCTGCTGCGTATGCACTTGACCGAGTTTTACGTGTTGTTGGATAGATGACCTTGGATCGTTTCGCTTTTTACCGCCCGACCAGGATACTACGACGCAGAGCTAATTTCGATACGACGTTATAATTTCGTATGAGGAAAACGTAAGGATATCCAGTCAAGTAAATCGCGGTTCATATGTACGGAAAAACACTGCTATAGAGGAATGTAAAAACACGTTTTACTTCTTTCTTTGGACTGTTGAAATGCGAAATGCAAACAGAACAGGTTAGTATAAACAGTTATTATTAGTATAGACCTAGAGCTCATAGTCGTCTCTCGATCCGGTACAATCGTTTGCTGACTAAAAGTTTGGTGAACCGTGCATAAAAATAGTCTATTTTACAATAGATTTATATCAACGTCGGTACTTTCTAGAATCGTCTATTGCTTGGAAAAAAAAATATCCTACATTACTCCGCAATCAGACCGATGAAACAACAACATATTATGTATGTATGTTGTTTCATACGTCTTCGCCCGTGCGAACATGGGGCAATAACTTACGCACCAGCATTTTTGTGAGTTTTATAAATCAACTTTTTTGTAAACAAGCTAACACCCTGCGTGCTTCTCAAAATCTATGTAATGTTTTTACATGCTTTTATTTTATACATATAGGAGAAACACAAACATTACTTTTTATTTTACCTAATATTAAAAAAATATCGTAGCCTATTAGATGACAATCACTGATTGTCGTCTATTAATAGGCCGGCAACGCTTTTGCGGTGTTTCTGGTGACAGAAATATCTATCCATAGTAGTAACTCACCATTAAACAAGCCGCTTACTCATTTGCCAATTAATCGATAAAATCAATTTGATAAGTTGCGCAGATTTAAACTAAAAAATCAACAGTTCAACTTACTTGTACGGGTCCTGTAATTCTTCTGTTACAAAGTTGAGGTAGTTCCAGCCACCGAATGCGAACAGGCCCGAATAGAAGGCGAGGGCGATACTGCCAGCATCATATTTACCTTCGAATGGCCGTTCAAAATTTTCGGTGTGCCCTTAAAAATACAAAATGTGATCGTCATATGACCGTTATTAATTTCTGTTAACTCTTATACATATCCTTATAAATAACACACAAACACACAAAAAGATATTTCGTAGTTACATAACAGTCTATTGTTTTCCTTTTTCCGTTCCAATTTCTTTACTTACTATACAATCGCTTTACAAAAACCGCTGTTGTTGCGTTATATCGTCGTAATGATAGCTAAAGTTTATTTCATAACACACATCCCTGAACTCTCAGCAATGCCACGGTAACATAAATTGATCCTGGTTCATCATCTCGTAACACAAGCTTTGTATCGAATGTCAATGTATCTCATGGTATTTTATCCAGATAGCTTTCGTTATGAAACTTATTTATAGGCAGTTTTAATCAAGTCCGTTCACTTGTAGCGTTTCGTTCAATTGTTTATATAACAACTGCAATAAATTTTCCGATAAGTAGCTGTAATTGTTCTAAGTAAAGAATGTCCTTATTAAAATATCTATAACCGAAGAGATTTAATCTCATAAAAATCGTACAGACCTACAATTAGTTCTATCTACAACGTTTATAGGCTTTAACTTGTTTCTCATGTATTTTGGACGGGATTTCAAGCGAGCAAGCGGTTCACTTGATCTTGAGTGATAACCAATGTCAATTTACATTTGTAACACTCGTGCGGTTGCAGATGCGGAATCCACCTTTGAATAAAGTGGATCCCGGCCACCTCGCTCACCAGACGCAACGCAGAAGCATAACAGTTCCATTTCACGCCGGTCATGTGTGAGGTCGCAGTACTTACCCGGGCGGCATGGCCCAGCCACGTTAGGATTTGTTATTAACGCTATATAAATAAACATTTTTACTAATAAAAAACAAAACCGTCTTGAAATATCTCTCTCGCAATACATTTCTCTTTGATTTTGAGCACTTCAACCGATTCTCTAGTCTCCGAAATTCTTCCGATTTCTCCCAAATCTAAGGCCCCATAACCCGAACCCAATGCGAAAAGACTTCTCAGTCGGTTAATTAACAGGGGAGTTCTCAAGTTACAAACACAAAGGAAATGCAACCCTATAAATTGTTTCTAATCGGTTCAAAAATAAAAGCAAGACAGTTGGAAAGGTTACTTAAAACATGGCATCAACCTATCGTGCTGTCAAATAAGAAAGAGTACTGTATGAGAAATTGTTAGCTTACCTATACATATGTAGGAGACACCCGCGATTATAATAATTACTAATGCTAGTAGCTTAGATGTTGTGAACACATCTTGTATACGCATCGTCCAACGTACGCTGATACAGTTGATGGCAGTCAGAATAACTGTTGAAAATAAAAAATAAATGTTAAAATAGGATTTCAAATTGCTAAGAACATTAAATATGTTAAACAATTTATTTAATGTACTTAATGTTTTTCAATCACAAAAAATATGTACAAACTGATCAAATGTTTTTATTTGCCAAATTTCTTCAAAAAATAAATGGTGATTCTTATGTATAACGATATCATCGTTAAACTAAGTGTTAAAGTATTTATTTGTCTTAAAGTTATCGAAATTTATTTACAGGATGTAAACATTTTTGTAATTATTAGTGTGAAGTTTAATACCAATTAAGTTTATTAAATGCTTGCAAATAATTTATAATTTGATTCTTCACTTCTTTGTAGTATTACACACAATTACATTTATTTTATTTTATTTCTTTTATTTACAATTACATTTATTACACACCATAGTACACAATATTTTAAGTTTTAAGCCCGTTCTATCTTTTCTTACCATAATGACATTACAAAATTTTTATTTTGAATTAAATAGAAACACGAGTGCGCAGTAATCTTGGCGACGTAATGCAGAGATGCAATAATGTTAAGTATTTCGTTATGTTAAATATATAGGAAGGCACAAAGTCATTAACCTGAATGTATTTTAAAGCTTCATTTGATTACTATATAATAATAAGATAGTATTGAAATATAGGTAGCTTAAAGGAAAAAATAAAACTATGCGCGTTATTTAACGAACACAATATGTCTTTTTTAATGTAAACCGTGTTTTTTTTTTTTAAATAAAACATTTCAGTTTATCATATGACGCAGGACATTTACAAAGTGTTAGAAATGAAAACCAATATTAAACGCCAGAAAATCCCTAAATAGTTTAATTTTAAACATTGTGTTTTTGCGTAAATACAACAAACCACTTGTTTTTTTAACCCATCAATCACCGGTTACTGCGAAGCTTGCTTTTATTAACAATATTTTTCCTTAAAATAATTTTATTAAACAATGTGTTGTGACCTTTTTGCGTATATACAATAAAGTATTTGGATTTTATTTTAATCCAGTACAATTTTCTTTGAATGCTTTCTTGTATTAACAATATTTTTCATTGGCGTTGTAACATTTTATTCTGTTTTAACGTACATATAAAACAGGCCGAGTGCGAGTCGGACTCGGGCACGAAGGGTTCCGTACAATTATTTATAAAAAACGGCAAAAAAATCATGTCTGTTGTATGGGAGCCCCACTTAAATATTTTTTTAGTATTTGTTAATATAACGGTAAAATAAATATCAGTGAAAATTTCAACTGTCTTATTCAAGGTTCATGAGATACCTGGTGACAGACGGACAGACAGACAGCGAAGTCTTAGTAATAAGGTTCCATTTTACCCTTGGGATACGGAACCCTAAAAAGCTATGATATAAGATGCGAGTACATTGTCAGGTGGGTTCTTATTACCTTCACTTTGCATTCGAACTAGTACTGAGCAACCTATCAAATTATGCCAACCTTGAAACACATTAATGAACGCGGTTGGCGCGATTGGCATGCAGTCTTTGGAAGCACGTTCCCCGAACGTTTAAGTTGGATAGTACGGCAGATGTGATATGCCGTAGTCTAGTATACAATTTCGGTGAACTTCGCTCGCGAATAAGTTTGTACACAGAAAGACATTACAGACTCGCATAGTCCATTCGGTTGGCTTGACCTACTCTGAGACACGAAGTTAATTATAAATGCGGTTTGTAATTAACAGACATATCTATAATGTTGAATGTTCTTACATTCAACATTATAGAACATTACAAAACAGAAAAACTGTTATTTACTTCGACGTAAAACAGAGGCATGTAAGGGATACACGTACACGTAGAAACGGAGAACCCAAAGTTTAATTTGAGCCTGTTGAAGCGCGTACAAACTTTTCTTTTTTGTATCATTGTTTATTAAAATAATTTAACTTTTTTTATTCTTTTATTAAAGTGGCAAGCGTGACTACGTTTCACTTGTTGTTCAGTGATAACTGCCGCCGATGGACATTTACAACTCCCGTAGGGTTGCAGATGCATTGTCATTTTTTAAATTCAGTGGGCTACGGTTACCTCACTAACCAGAAGTAACGTAGAAGTATAACACTTGTACTTGCGTGGCCGTAATTATTTTAATTGTTTATGTTTCACTTTCCTTAGTTAAAAAACATCAGCTTGTTCTGTGGGTGATTATCTGTGGGAGACAGTACACCCAGACGCTAAACAACTGATCGTGGATCATACAATATGTGGCCTAGTAAGCGGGTTCAATTCCCACTACGAGAAAGATATTGTATGTTAAACCTAGTATATTCCTAGTGTTTATACATCTATAATATTCTATACATTCATCTATAGTATTTAAATACTAAAAGTTACCTAAAGGGTTATGTTTATCAGTTTTCTAGTACCCAAATTACAAGTTTCGCTTAGTTTAGAACAGATAACGTGTACCTTGTTAAATCAGCCCCATTTAGTGACTAGGTTTCCAAAAACTCAATCTGAAATCTGCAAAAAGTTTCCATTCAACTCGATAAAATCTCTCCATAATATCACAATTTAAGAGCAACACAAGATACCTTATTATTCCCAATGCATAGACTAAACAAATGAGAACTGGTCGCGGGTGTCCATTGGAAACATAGGTCCATTGAGGAATAATTAGGTTAAAAGGTAACTTCCGCAACTCCAGCCAATGATGCAGAACGATCAAATAATGGATGGTCTGTTTCAATTTACTTCAAAGTACTCTTATATGTACAATTGTACACGCTTTATGAATTATTGCGGAAATGTAAAGTAATTAAAATGGGCAAACAACTGTGATTTAAGGTTAAGGCTACATGCTTTATTTCGTTTCGTTCTAAAAATAATCGCGTTCAACAACTTTTGTCAATTATACAATATGAATTTTCGTGTCTGCTTTCGGCAGATGGGAAGCATGTACTATAAATAACGGTTGATTTCAACAGATCAGTCTGTATTAATCCAATATTTCTCACTGTCTCCTCCTTCTGCGGTCCTCAAACCCGTTTTTTGGAGTCGGGTCTCCTCACTTTTCTGCGCCGAGACAAACGATCTTGGGTTGTCGCGTCAGGTAATTGGGCTTTCTTAATGTCCCTCCTGGACCACCAAGTCATTAGCTGGATGCCTCTCTTTGATTCTGATAGATTTAGAGCTATTTGTATCACACCCTTCACGACCTTCCTTGCGTGTTATAATGTGGCCATACCATCTTAGGCGATATTCTATCATTTTGTTCGTGACTGGTGCGACTTTAAATTTTTAAAATCGCTTAATCAATTCTGAATTAACAAATATTAATAGTATTAACAGCCTCCTCCTTTTTTGAAGTCGGTTGAAAAGTAATTGAAATCCAATGCAGTCTATCCGTAGTATTTTTATGTATAATGTCTATGTAGTGGAAAAGTTAAATGTCTTACTTATTAATAGTAAAATGATTGTAATAAAAATAAAGTGTAAGTTTATTAGCTAAACGAGACAACAGAACTGCGCGAAATGTTTGGTTAATTCATCATCACCGCATAGCTTTAAAAGGAGCCTTAGCAATGTGCTCAGTAATTAAATTATGCGGGTTGTAGCACATTCAGTGACATATTTGACAGATGAGCATACCATTGTTGTTAGCGAATGCCCGCGAAACGCAAACGCCCAAGGATAGATACACGCCCCATACTCGTAACTTTCCATAGCATGATATAACGTTTACGATAAAAGGCCAAAAGATCAACAAAGGACTGCGAATACCATAACCGCTTTGAAAATCGTAGACTCATCTCGTAGAATCAGACTTGTCTGGAATGCAATCACCATAACGGCGCAGCTTTTAAAGTGTACGTGACTAGATCTTTGATAACAGGTTGTCTACTGTATTACTAAACTATACTAGATGAATATAGTACATCGACCTTAAGACTTATAAAAATTAAAACAGGCTAAAAATCAACATTACTCAATTTTGAATACAGTGTATTTTTATGTTGTTGTTTCTTCCCTTTTTTATCCGCATACGATGACATAATGTCCATGTGTGGAAGTGCTTTACGCTGAATAAGCTAAGCAACTCATCAAATCGAACCCGCGTATAATCATCACGTAATGCCGTTTACAACGATTAACAAATAATGACAAGATTGTGCCTTTATAAATCAAATGACGTTAAAAAGAGAAAAGCGAACATGAAAAGTATCTAAGAATTTTACTTCACTTTTCATGTAATATCGTTCGTCGCACTTTGACGTTGTTGGTTTCAGTTTTCAGTCATTATTAATACAGATTCTTACACAGGATACTGTATGTATGAGTAGGTAACTGGAACAGTGCATCACGCTATAGATCATATTTAAATTTGTTTTTTCCCACTGTAAAGACCTTTTTAGGGTTCCGTACCAAAAGGGTAAAACAGGACCCTATTACTAAGACTCCGCTGTGTGTCTGTCTGTCTGTCTGTCTGTCCGTCTGTCACCAGGCTGTATCTCATGAACCGTAATAGACAGTTGAATTTTTCACAGATGATGTATTTCTGTTGCCGCTATAAAAACAAAAAGTAAGAACAAAATAAAAAATTAAGTGAAACATAACATGTCTTTTGCATGGGGATGTTTTTTTTGCCCTTTTTATAGATAGTGGTACGGAACCCTTTGTGCGCGAGTCCGACTCGCACTTAGCTGGTTCTTTTTTCATATACATAAGCGCAAAATTGCTACCATATCTCAAAATATTTTACAGAACATTCATGATTGTACTTCAAAACAACATCGTGACTCGAAATGGTAACATAACAACTACCGCTCTCAATGGATCGCAAACAATTTTATTTAGTGCGATTGTGGATCGGTTTCGGTATCGGTGACAAACGACGCCTTCGCAATTCTAGCAATCGGCACGAATGGGGAAGCCAACGATCGTGACGAATTTGTAGCGTTGTAGAGATGTGCGTTGTGCTAAACACTACGTTTTATACAATGTATGCACTTATTCAATCATTAAGTACTAAATATGAAACTTACTTACTTACTTATTTAAAAAAATATAATTAGTACAGCAAATTGTATGCGTGACGATAAACATTCGTTACAATACTTTTTCGTCATTATTGTTAATCTATATATTAATAATTATATAATAAAACGTTGTACCCCTTTTTACGAAAATTGCGAGGAGGGAGGATTGTGAAATTTTCCACACTTATAGCTTACATAGAGAGAATGAGAGAAAAATACATAAAATCAATATAGAAAACATTACACACGCTACCATGTATTTGACACACCGTGTGTGTACATAACACAACTTTTGTTCATTGTGTATTGTATTTGAGAATAGATTAATATTGTTCAAACATAATTTAATTTAATTATGGTCGAATATCGACCAGCCGGCGTTCACTAGTATTTTAAAATGTAAGTGGTCTAATGAATATATTTCCCTTTTCTTCTTAACAATACAAATTCTCGATTTCAAGTAATTTACTCAGTAAAGATGAGTTACATATATTCTATCTATCTATAAATTTTGTCACTAGAGATATAATTTTGAAATAGGCCGTTAATCAACAAAGGATTAACTTTAGCGACAGTCGCCAGGGAATTTTCTAATATCCATATTATTTTTCTAATAGAAATACTGATCGGCGGATTTGACACTTCTTTGATAAATCAATCCTGTGGAAACAAGAATATATAATATAATAATGGTAATTAACAGTTCTTATAAGAATTAAAGATCCCAAAGGAAATATTTAAGAATTACAACCAATTAAGAAGGGACCGCAGCGAATGAAGACATAGAATATCGATGTAATAGACACGACGAACATTCTTCAAGTTATTATAGGATTAACAGCTATATAGGTTAAATATATGACATTAAATGAAGACAAGGAAGTTATGCGACTCATTCTGTATATGGCTCCATGTCTAATGACATTATGCCGGTCTTAACGACTTGGGGAAGATGACGGGGCTCTCAAATAGTCGTCCCCGTCCAAAGCCTGGCGCCGGAATGATAAGAATCCGACTAAGCCGCAATCATGATAAGAGTATTTGGTCCTTTCATCAAAGATAATGCAGAGGAATGGTGCACACATATTATAATTATCTCGTTAGAGCTTAAAGTCCTCTGCCATTTTACTTTAACCATATAATACAAGTCCGGGATAAATTATTTTGACTTGTTAACACAATAGTTTGCGATCGACCTTTATTAATCGGCCACAGAGCAGAGTTAATGAAAGACAAGATACAAAAACGCCATACCGATCCGAAATATTTTGATTAGGCTAAATAATAATATCACACTATTTGTAATAGTAAAAAGCAGAAATAGTATAAATTTCGAATGCAAATCGAAATATAATAAAAAAAGTTATAGTCCTATTAGTCCACAAAATAAACGGTTTTTTGGTTTAACCAATTTCAGGCCCACAAAATAAAATAGCTACATTAATCATTAATTATGTATACTAAAAAGGTTAATTTAGTTCTCTGTAAAACGACAAGCCCGTGGCCATTACCCTTAAAAATAAGAAACATTGTATATGAGTTCAGAACATAGCAATGTTATCGAGTTTAATTTAAATATTACTGCATCACCAAAATAACAGCAATTAATGCTAAGGCTGAACTTGAAATAATAATTTAAAAACTAGTCATGTTTCATAATATTGAGTTTAGGACCCTTAAAGCTTCGATGTGATGACGACATGACCATGAATGGTGCGACTATCGAAGTATTCCCAAACGTGGGGAATTTTGAATTGAAGGCGACAAGCGCCGGTAACATAATCATAATAATAGATAATTGTTTCTACGAATTAACAAAAAACAGTACCATTAAAGGATTACGAAGTCCATTAAAAATTTCTCCAGTTAGTTTTCGATTGCGCAGCATGAAATCAGTTACATTTAAGAACTTACTGAGACACACGGCGGCGAGGAGTTTAACGGCATCCTGGGGCGGGTCGCACTCCGGAAAGAAAGGCTTAACGACATAATGTCCAAACGTTAGGGCGACGATCGCCTGCGTAGTTGGTCTAATGATGAGCAGTGCGATCCAGATCCTGAGGAACGCCGGTAGGGGCCCAAATGCGGCGTAGATATAGGCGTAATCACCGCCGGACCTCGTGATCGAAGTGCCGAGCTCCGCGTAGCATAGAGCGCCCAATGTCGACAGCAGGCCACACACCAGCCATATTATGAGCGAAGTCGCCACCGATCTGGAACAAGGATACCGATTATTGTTATTATATAATAATACATTATTTGATCTAGTACTGTACTCATACTATTGTACATTTTTTTATGTGCAAAGTTGCAAAGCGAGCAGACGGTTCACCTGATGTTAAGTGAACCCATGGACATCTGCTACACCCGAGTGTTGCACATGTTGAAATTGGGCTCCGGCCATCTCTCACCAGGCGAGACGCGAAAGTATTATACTTCCACTTTACGCCGGTCTTCTGTGAGGCCGTGGTACTTACCCGGACGAGCCTGCCCAATCGTGCAACAGCCGAGGCTGCTGCGTGGCCCTACACCGTACATGTTAAAATAGAATATTACACAGTAATAAATTTTGATTTTACTAAGAAATATTGGTTAAACTATTGGGTTAGTGTATCGATTTACGTTTTTTTATATTTTTTTTATGATTGATTTATAATTGATTTATATTTTTTTTTATTTTAATCCCGCTCTTATTAATTATTTTGAATCTGCGTATTATGCCACTTTCAATGGTACACCGTCTGTTTAAAAAGTATAATGTTAGGCAATACTACAAAAAATTGAGACTACAGAGCCGTGATAGCTCAGTGTCCGGGCGCTCGCCTTTTATTCACTATACTCGAGCAACCTGAGTTCGATCCCCGGTGCCGGCACCAATGAAGTTTTTAACTTTAAGTGCTGACTTATCACGTGCTCCGCGGTGAAGGGAAACATCGTGAGGAAACTGCATATTTTCGAAATAATAACAAAAAAATATATATATATTTTTTTGTTATTATTTCGACTATGCCCTAATACCCTCTGTATAGAGGAGGCCTTTGCCCAGCAGTGGGACATGTATAGGCTGTTACTTTACTTTTTACTTTACTACAAAATAGGCACAGTATGGAATAGAAATAAAGATATTCCGGAAAATTGATCACCAAAATTATAACAGATATCCCGGAGACTTCCAATTCAGACTTTGGTCCAACATAGAGCTCATTTAGAATTATTTTGAAGGTATATCACAAAATTATGCGTTAATAAAAAATATGAACACTTCTATCTCACCACTTTAAGCAATATGCTGTTAAAATTAAGATAAAAGATAATCACATAAGTCGCTTAAATTAGTTCCATCTTATATCTTGATGTGGGTTATTTAAATATTGAAAGATTTCCTTAATCGTCTAGTGTTAAAGTTAGTTAAAGTTAGTTCCTTAAAGGTCTAGTGAAACATTTAAATATTTATGGAATTTAAAGCTTCTTTCTTCTTCCCTTTTCTTCTTCTTAGAATCAAGCAGCAACTATTGATATTGCAGGAACGGGCGAGAGCTCGCCCGGGGAAGAGCAATAATCTAACAGAAGACCAGCGCGGTATGATTTGGAAGTATTATACTTCTAAGTTTCGTTTAGTTGAGTGAAGAGGTTACCGGAGCACTCTTTTAAATTTTGGCAACTCATTTGCCACCCCACCGTTGTCATAATGTCTATCAGCGGGTAATCACGTGAATCGCCTACTTGCTTTGCATCTTTTGACAAAAAGAATTAGAAGAAAGCATAGATTTTCTAATTGAGACACAGTTGAATTGTATTATTGATGTTACTATGCTATATATTGCTGCTAGCAGATGCAAATGTGGTTCGTACGTATGTGAATATTTTGTGACCTACAACATATGAGTTTTCTCTTAACATTAAATAACGCGTCGACACGTCTATTAGAGTGAAATGATATCTGCATTCACGTTGTGGAAGTTTATTAATGATCGTCATAGCCATTTTAATATACAATAAGTTCTAGGCACGCAAATGTGCACACTATGTATTTATATCTGTTATGAGTTTGTGGCGCTATACAAGCGCAAGCTATTGGCTTCGGCGCCGGGAATCGTGGGTTTGATTCCCACACGGGACAAGTGTGAATGTAACACAAATACATGTGTTACATTCACACGGGATTAAGAGTTGCAGCCAGCAATAATGTTTTTTTGGTGGTACAACACAACAAGGAGTGTTTAAGGCGCATTAAGTTAATTTAAATTATTTAGTTTTAATTTGGTAAAAAAAATTATCAAAAATTTTTAGTTTAGATTATTGAATTTTCCTTGTTTTATATTAGTATTTTTGTATAATATAAATTATTTGAGTATAACATCACGCTGCTACTAGTACTACTTACGCTCTTACAAAATTATCAAATAGAAATAATCATAGCATTCCTGCCACTGTAAGTGCCAGTTCATATATTTGTATGAACCCAATTTCGTCAAGGTGCCTATTCTAAATTATTTTGCTAGCGTATACAGCGTGTCGTTACTACCGCGACAATAAATGAACACACGTCTAACGCTACTTGCCAATAACAATAAAAATATATAAAAGTTAAAAAAAATCCATAATTAAAAAAAAATATTTTTCAAACAAACTAATTTAGTAAAAAAGAAACAAAATTTGTAACATCCTATACAACTGACTGATTCATACATTCAGAGACGTTTTCATTCATTGCCACGGCGACGCATTAAGTCTGCTTCTAATAATATGTTGTGTCTTTTAAATTCATTCAACCCATTCATATGCTTTGTGACCTTTACAAATGAACTTTACGTTAGTTTTATATGTAAGGGTGTTCTAAAATTGTTTGTTTTGGAAAATTTAATAACTCGGTAAATATTGATGTTTAAAGAATGTAAATGTTTAATACAATTTTAAAAAGTTATTCTCTATATGTGTGTTCATTTATTGTCGCGGTTGTAACGACACGCTGTATATAAGTGGAAAAGTGGACATTGTCTCGCGCGACAAATAAGCCAAAGTCCTGCTCCCTGGACACCACCTCATTTATTATTTGTAATATGGTTGCAACGTTTTACACGCTCAACAATCAGGTTCAGAATACAACCGTAAAAGTTTTGTAAAAGACATGATTGAAGGGCAAAATATATAGTATACAATTTATACATACTAAGAAAAGAAAACAATAAGGAAATGCATAAATGTTAATCAACAAAAAAGAAATTTGAGAGAATATCACTTAATACATTATATGTACCTATAGTGTTTATAAAACGTAATCTTTTAACATATTCTGCCTGATGAGATTTTTATTAGCCACAAATATTTTATTAAGGAGGAACAGATTTTTATTGAGCCTTTCTTTTTTTAAGTATTCGTATTTTAATAATTATCTCTTTTGTTAATATAAAAATAATTGTTTAAGACAATTTTTAAGGATAAAAGTAGGTACAACTGTGCGGGTTCTTGAATCATCTAAACGTAGAAATTTATAAGTAATTATTTTTATAGAAATACATTGTACAATTATGCCGCACGCAGTTGTTTCGTAAATAAAAGAATGAAATATCCTGTCTTCGAAAACAAAATATAAAGAAATGTAATGAGACACTGTTATAACTGGTGTCTTAGCGGCTACGATGTCTGAATTGACATCTTGAACCATGGCGTGCAATAGTTTCATGCTCATTCGTTCCACGTGCAAAAACCATTGTTTCACATTTTTGTCCGCGGTACGTATCCGTTACTTTCTGTACCGAAATAGTCGCATTAACGTGGCTAGCGTTTGCTATCTATATCCCGTCACGGTTAACAGACGTGAGAACTTGTCAATTTATGTGCAGAATTTTGTTCGATTTGAGGTTGTTTAAACCTTGGCCCCCTTGCTATTCAGTTGTTTGCAGCATTTAGTCCTAGTAGAACTTAAAGTAGCACGCTAACTTCACGATTACTATCACGATCGACCTATGAATAATTAATACACGTATTACAGAAGTCGAATAAAAAGGCAAATAATGCTTTATGATTTGACTTGACTTTTAATAGTTTCTTTGAAACAGGTACATATAATGATTTGTGAACTAAGCTGCGGTATCCCGAATAGCCCAACAAACAAAAAAACGTGTGTTTGAGTAGTACGTCATAAGTTATGAACGAACGTAAATCGTTTTACTTCTTTAGCGTAACAATTACGTAAAAATTTTTATCTTAGACTTATGTCCCATCCAACAGAATACTATGTCCATCGAAGCTATGTAAATTACATGATTTCAAATAATTATAGACATTATTGTTGAATAGAATTCCCTAAATAAATATCTCTATTTATGCACGACGCTATACCTATTGACAATTTAACAAGCGTGTATATTGTTTATACATCAGTAGAGCAGGATACAATATCTGCTAACTAACCAATTGAATCAATGAGTGTTTAAAAGCCCATTCGCTTTCAGTAGCTGTTTTAGTAATTTCATTATGAATGGAATTTTAACTGAATAAGAGTTTAAGCTCAAAATAAAGTCAATTACGAGAAAACATTAGCACAAAGCAACTGAACAGCAATATAAAGTAACATTGTTATAGTATATAGTATATTAGATGTATTATTGATAGGTACTTTCTGTGTTTTTACCTATATAAAAAACAATCTTCAAAAAAGTTTATGATTAGGTCGTTTTAATTGTTGACGTCCTAATTTTGTGATAAGTACAATAGGTAAATGTGGTAAAAGTACGGTATAGTAAAATAGATAAACAATGTTGATATTCCATAAACAAGTGAAAGTACCAGAAATAGTACCACCCCACAAGGATTATAACAAATATGTAATAACAAAACCTAAAAGTTTTTTTGGCCTGCGTCCTGTCGTTTCGACCTTCCCGGAAATAGCATAAAAAGTTCAATTTTAAAGACATTCCTAGTTTTTTTTAGATACAATATCATTATATTAAATGTTATATATTCTGTCGTTTATACACAAACTTAAATAACACATTATCCTGCATCATTTCAATTTATTTAGTAATAAAAGCACCGCTATCCGTCGACTTCGCAATTCGTTTAACAATAGAAGCATCATTTTGTAAAAAGTCTATTTTTAACAAAGTACTTCACATGTCGTGAAGAAAAAAGGAGGGAAAAATATTTGAACTCACTCTGTATGTTGAAAAACTCCAGTCGGCGAAATAAAAATACCAGAACCGATTATCGTCCCAATTATTATTCCCACCCCGTTGAAGAGAGTTATTTTTCGTTTTAAAACTAATTTTCCGTCTCCGTTTGGAACTTCTTCGCCCATAACGTTAAAAAAAATCAATCAGGATCACCGGTAAATACAACACACGTGGGTTTCGTGTGGAATACCCACAGCCCCACAGTTAATTGTCAACACTGTAGTCGACGAACGTAAAATTTTCACTGATCACTGCGATATTTTCTACACAACTGACTCACTTTCAGTGAACATTTTTATGTTTTCTGTTGAATACTACTGGAATAGACGACCGTAACCAAGTTGACGTCAAACTGCGAACCACGCAAGAACTAGCAACACGTCACACGTTAATACTAAGCAAACGCCGGGGCGCATGTGCACATGACACATCTGTTGAAAACGTTGATTTGTCTGGTGCTAGCGAGCAAACCGAGTTAGCGAGTAAAGATAGCGTTCAACCGATTCCGTACTCGGCCAGTTGCGACGAGCGATGTAGAAAGAGACGATAGATATCAATTTTAACGCTCGGGAAGGAGAAGTTGCGATTATTAGCAATACAACACTGTTTTCGATGTTTTGACCTCGATGAAAATTGTGACCGCGAAATTTAAAGAGAGTTGAACTCTATGTTACGGTTTTTTGCTTTAAACCTATTTAGTTTGCTACCTTTGTATAATAATAATATGACTATTGATTTAACATATTTATAACTTGCCCCATCATCGCACTATGTTATACGTATACGTATGAGGTTAACGGAACAATGAAATATGACTTCACTCATCACATAATTGCATCATTTTCATTACTCTTACATACCTACATTTTTATTTTATTCGGTGACAAACATAATGGTTTTTGAAAAGTAGTCCATTTCATGGTATATATTTTCTGAAGGAAAATATTGAAGTACATATTTATTTATTACCAAGAAATTATTTGAATATAATTTAAATAAAAAATCGGCCAAGTGCGAATCGGACTCGCGCACGAAGGGTTCCGTACCGTTATCTATAAAAACGACAAAAATCATGTCTCTTGTTAAAATCATGTGCTCTACTTCAATATTTTTTATTCTGTTTTTAGTATTTGTTGTTATAGCGGTAACAGAAATATCATTATATATATATAATCATTTGTGAAAATACATACAGAAAGACAGCGGAGTCTTAGTAGTAGGGTCCTGTTTTAGCCTTTGTGTAGAGAACCCTAAAAACTTTGGTAATAACAAAGCGCTACGAAACACGTATAGGCATACTTTTTAAATAAACCCACTTACAAGTTCGTTCTATGTGATGTTCATGTGAAAACAATACTAACATATGACGCGATAATAGCACACACATATTTACCCATAGATGATAAACATATATTCTGAAAGCACCAAACACTAACACAGCTTTTTGTCATATTCTTCGTACCGTGTAAACTTTCTTCGTTTCTTTAAATGTACCAATACGAAGTTTGCAATGGCTTAGCTGTATATTATTAAATTAAAATTAAAAGCAGTTAAATTTTAAATCACTTTTTAAAGAGGATTGCTTCTTTATTCGTAGTCGATAACATTGATGGTTATAAACAAGTATTCTAAAGTTCAAATTATTTTTTTATTTATTGACTTAACGCAAAAGCAGCTTATGTTTTTCTAGTTGTGGACATATTTCTTTATTTACTCTTTATTTACAAATAGTGCAAGGGCGGACTTAATTTCAAAGGCATTATCTCCCAATCCTAAGTGCACAGAATACTCTTACCTCCTACTTAATAGATTACTACCTACATGTAAAGACATAATTAATCATCAATTACCTAATAAAACTTGTTTAATCTTTTCTTGTAACGCATCTGCTCTATAATTTTCATTACACAAAACATTCTCTTCAGTTTTATTAAAAACAGTGTGCGAAAATTTTGACCGAAACATTTTTTGAGTTTTAAAAGTGCTCACATATTGCGTATTCTTTAAAAAACTAATCTCTACAACAAATAATAAAGCTTCTACTTAGTTTAATAGAGGACTTCTGATCTTGTCTCACTAGAACTTTTTATACATAATGAGATTAGATGTTAAATCGCATAAGCCAATAATTACAATACTAAGTTATTATTTAGTTACACGAAAATATATATTAGATATTAAAATATGTAGAAAATTATATTAAAATATAATTTTATATTAAAATTATAGTATTGGATATATCGAACACCTACATATTTTGTCTCTTTTCTTACTGTATGTACGATCTACGTGTGTGGAATGAGCTTAAAGCAAGATCCCAAAAAAGGGTCGAAGCTTAGTAACGACCATAAATATGAATCTACTATTCATAAAAAATATTCACAACCGACACTTTGTTTTTTTCATACGGCAGTAATAAAAATAAACTTAATGAATAAGTAACGTTCTGCGGCTGTTATGAACGAAAAAAACTTTATAGACAAATTAATTCAATATTTAACTGTAGGCTAAAACTTTAATGCCAATTTATAAAGTCGTGAGCACATTGAATTTCAAATTAGGTCATAAATCGAACAATCAATAAGTTACAACTAGAATAAACAGTAGGTATCGAATTACAAAATTGGTCAAGAAAAATAATTAAAAGATGGGTGGTCAAATATTCTTGTATTACTGTGGTAATCGAGAACAATTGTCAACTAAAAACATTTATTTTGAATAAAAAATAAACAATCTTTCTATTGTCATGAGAATGAAGTTTGAAGACATCGCGGGAGACATCCTGAAATAACATGATTAGCAGCAAACCGATGCGCCCGCGCCGCGGCGCTACCGTCGCCGTGTGCCGCTTATCCGACGCCATTTTCACACAGCCCGCGAGCTTTCCCGCAATCAGGTATGCACTTTCAAATATCGACATTTTAAAGCAACGCTTAATCTATTTTTTTGTTACCATAGAACGTATAAAAAACGAGCTGTGTCAGAGACATTTTTTTCATTTAAAACTAACATGAACCGACCAGAACAATGACCTCGATAGTACACGTAACAGTTAACATGTTTTTTGTTTTTAATGATGATTACTGAATACAATAGCTTCAAACAAAGGCGTTCAATTAAACTTCACTATGAAATCTTAAATAAAACGCAATGATACATTTCTATAAAGTGTATTGAAATCGTCCTAGACTAATAACAGTAGTAAGGAATGTGACGGTCGTGTTTAGTTACACCGCTGCAATGGAAAAAGGAGATGGGAGATACAGACAATCGGTCGCACTTTACATTCGATTCGTTAAAAAGATGGTTAAATGATGTTCTATTTATGTCGTCTCCTCTTTATTTTTTTTAATAGATCACTAAGCATCCCCCACAGCGATGGTATTGCGGGACACGAGTCGTGTCGCAAGCTGCGGTGCTCTCGCACGTGCTCATAACTCGGCTGGTGACTATTTCGAAAAACATTAAAAAGTTGTTTTGTCCTTTAGATTGTGGTACGAAAGGCGAAGTAACTTTGTAAACCGATGACTCTTATCCAAAAAGACCAGGAAGTGAAAGAGGCTAATATGGATGGGTCTCCATCCAAGGAGGATAGCGGAAAGTCCTTGAGGCCAGTGCGAAACAGACGATATACTCGGTTAGTCGATGACTCATTGCTTTCACATTCTACTGAATTATTTTCTTTGTGCGTCACACACAAATCGCGTATATAACTTACCTGATAATTCGTACTCTTCCTATGTTAGCATGTTTGCCATTAGCAATTTTAGTTGTCCGTTTTAGTCGGTGGGAGATTTTCAAACCAATTCATCGCTTGTTTACAGGAGAAGTTTAGTAGCAGGACAGCGACCACAGAAGAGGCTTTTCACGCCTGAAATAAAACGTTATTTAAAAGATTGGCTCGTTCGACGAAGGGACAATCCTTATCCCAATCGTGAAGAGAAAAAATTTCTATCGAGAGAGACGGGCCTCACATACATACAAGTAAGATTTTAATCGGACGATTTAATCAGTAGCTGAGACTTTTAAAGTTTTACACTAGTTTTATGTTTTCAAGTAGGTAACATGTTTGTGCCTACTTGCAACCTAATTGGATTTATGCCAAGAATTGCTGTTTGTTCATAAATAGGCACTATTTTTGTCGTCGCTTGTGAGACTCATCGAAGACAGAAGAAGCTGCCTTGATCTGTAAATCACATGTCTTTTAAGTAACAATATTGAATCTATAAATAGTTCGGTTTACTTAGGCATTTTTATGACATTATACTGTTTATTTGTTACTATATACATTGTACTTATAACTTTTACAATTTCAATACTACGTTTTACAAATATATTCAAATAACAAATGGGTATGTTATAAACATCGCAAAACTGTTTTCTGTTATTAAGTACAATAGCAACAATCACTATCCCATTTCCAGATTTGCAACTGGTTCGCCAATTGGAGAAGAAAATTGAAAAACGTAAATGAAGACAAAAATCAGCAAACATGGGGCCATCTCATACGCACATACAACGACCGTGCACAGGGGAATGTGGAACAGTTCAGTATATGTTCAGACGACAGCATATGGAGTGAACCCGAGCCGAGTCCTGACCAATCCTTAGACATCGAGAATCAGCTCGGAGACAACCCGGAATCTATAGAATATAACCAATTAGATTCTGACTCTTCCTCACAGTCAACGGAGAAGTTCGAAAGTTTCAACAATAACTCGAATGAGGTCGATCATCGGGATGCAAATATCGACAGTTCGAAGATCATAAACGGTCCTCTGTTGCTCAGCAAGTGGTTAGAAAGCGCGGCAAGGTTTCAACCGAGTGAAACGAATTATTCCTGGTGGGCTGAAGGAAGGCGACGAAAAACTGATGCCAAGTCCCAATTATCAGTGAATACTTTAAGACATGACCGGGACGAGGTAGAAGCGGCCGTTGCTCTGACAGCTTTAGCGTCTGCTACAAGCCGCCTTACAGCACCATGATTTTCTCACCATATCACATGCAAAATAAATATATGTATATAGCATGTGGAAAAAGGCAAAGGTACATGTAAAACGCCGATTTAATTCCAATTAGTATTAGCTTTGTTACATGCGTTACAATTATCTGGGATTTAACTATCGTGCATTTGTAACTTGCTCAAGTTTGGAACAAACCAAATATTATTATAGTAAGATAGATGTTATATAAATTTGATCTCTTTTAGACTGGTCATAAGTATATAGGATATGCCAAAGATTGTATTACTTAAAAAGAGAATATATGTGAATAACACAGTCTTTTATTGGTAAAAACATTTAATTAAACAATAAAATATTTAAAAGCATTTACAATTAAATATATATATATATATAAATATTTAATATATATATATATATATATATGTATATATAATAAATATATATATATATATATATATATATATATATATATAATTCTTCTGTACGTGTGTATGTCACTGAACTCCTCCTAAACGGCTGGACTGATTTTAATGAAAATTTGTGTGTTCAGGAATTCGAGAATGGTATAGATTCACAATTTGATCCACTTTTTTTTAATTTTTTTATTTATAAGTTGTTTTCGGATTTCAGTCATGTTTACAGGACAAGGTCTGTCGAGTCCGCTAGTTTTTGTATAAATATTTCGTTTTAACGTTAGCTATAGGTTAATATTGCTGCATGTTTCATTTTCACAAATTACACAGTTCACATTACCAGGTACAATAAGGATATTAAAATGTTATAGATACTCTTTTATATCCGACTCTAGCACTATAGCCTATGTAGTTAAGTCAAAACATTCATGAAGCAATTTTACAAATGTCTTTTGTTTTAACTTTCAAGTGAATCAATTAAACTTTAAATATTAAATCCATCGATTATTCACAATAAAGAACGAAGCGATGCGAATAGAGATGGAATTCAATAAAAGTGAATATGCTTAACCGCAGGTTTGCTCAGCACCGTAACAAATAATACTAGACGGAAAACCGTGGGGTTCTAACTAACTCACTCGCCAGATGAAACGCATATTATAATACTTCCACTTCATGTCGGTGTTGTATGAGGCCGTGGTACTTCCCCGGACAAACCTGGCCATTCGTGCAACGGCTGTTGCGTGGCCCTGCCACAATAAATAGTAAATTACATGTCATCAAAGTTAAAAAAAATGTTATACTTTGGGGCTTCCTTATTTTTGTTTTGATGACACGTATAAAACAATTAGTGAAATCTAACTACCGCTATACATGGACATCCACAAAGTTGCATTTACGTTCCTTTTCAACCATGGGCTCGTTACCTCGCTCTTCAGAGGAAATCTGAAAATTTACGTCTTAGGCTTAAAGGCGCTGCTGGTGACAAGAGAACTGGTTCTTTTATCGCCCAAAGGCTATAACTATTCAGCGAGGAAATGCAGCTAGCGTTCTTGGCACCATGCCGCGAGGACTAGGTTTATTAGATAATATGTAATTTTAGATAGATTAACGTCCCGTTTCTGAAACACTGATCATCGTAGAAGTTAACTAATCAGCTGTTAAGTGGCTTTTCGAATGTTGTTTAAGTTGCCAAAAGGATGGTTAAACTCTCTGAATTGATCAGAACGATCTTAATGGTCAGAATTTCAGAAACCGGGAGTTAATGTTGTAAATATTGGATAAATAAATTGTATATTTGGATTTCGTTATCATTAACGAAAATGTAACTTTGTCTAGGCCAACTCTGTGAGTTCGCAATCGTTCTAACACATTATACACTCATTGAACGTAAGCTTTCATATATTTAAAAATATGTTGTGTCCAATCGATCTGGGATCTTACTCTATCATATTAAATCTATAATTTGCAACACTGACACAACAATTGAGTCTAGAATTTGTGTTCCGATGGATTATGTCAAATATTTATAGGACTTTGTTTAAACTAAACAGAAAAACAGTTAAATACCTACTTACTTGTAAAAAGTATGTAATCCCAGAACACTTTTTTTGAAACCACGAATTGTTTTTGCTGCCGTTTATGTCACGTTTTCGCAATTATTATTTTATTAAAACTAGGTCATTCTCTCTCACCCCGTATTTATATGCCAATCGTCTTCATATTACCTGCCTCACTTATTATGTGGGCAATTTTCTGTCTGTACTTCTTTATTGGTCTGAGATGCTTGGGTAGTGGAATGTTTTTGTTTTCTTGTAGCCAATAATTGACAACTATTGTTATAGTTTTTATATATATTTTTTTAATCTGGTACGTAAATACTCAAAAAATAAAAGTTATAAAACGTCTGTTATTACTGCCTTTCAACATTTGCAGTTGTCTTGCCTAAGAAAGTATTATTTATTTTGCGGCCTTGACGAATCTTTGCAACCTAATCATTAATGTTTCCCACAGCGTGGTATTTTCCATTACCATCGAGATTTAATTACTGCCAAATAATTAGACACAATTTTTTTTATGTGAAAAGTTTCCAAGCGAGCAGACAATTCACCTGATGTTAAGTGAATAACGCCACCCATGGACATCTGCAACACCCGAGGGTTCCAGATGCGTTGACAACCTTTTGAAAATTGGGCTCCGGCCACCTCACTCACCAGACGAAACGAGAAAGTATTATACATTCAAAATCAAAATATATTTATTCAAATAGACGCTTGCGCGCTCTTATAAATCGTCAGATTTTACATCAAAGATTATGTAATATAGGTTCGTAAGGTACCACCGGTTCGGAAAGCAGTTTCTGTTGAGAAGAGACCGGCAAGAAACTCAACAGTTGCTCTTTTTCAAAGGTATCAATTTACAATATAATAAACAGGTATAAGTCTTATTCTAGCCTACGTGAGTATCAACAGTATTAACTCCACACATTGGCGTCGTCGAGATATTCCGAAATGGTATATGCTTTAATCATTAGTTGATTTTTAATTTTACATTTAAATTGGTCAAGCGGCAGACTTAATATCGACTGTGGGATTTTATTATACATGCGCACACTTTGCCCCATGAACGACTTATTTACTTTTTGTAGACGAAACAATGGCGTAGTAAGTTTGTCCTTATTTCTAGTGTTTATTTTATGTCTGTCACTATTCTTTAGGTAATAATTAAGGTTATGACGTAAAACAAAACATTACAATAAATGTATTGAAACAACAGTGAAGCAACAGTGACTATATTAACCTCTTTGAAAAGATCTCTGAGTGAATTCCGGGCTCCGATATTGTAGATTGCTCGGATAGCTCTTTTTTGTAGAATAAATATAGAATTTCTATCCGATGCACTACCCCACAACAAAATTCCGTACGACAAGATGCTGTGAAAATAACTAAAGTAAAGTAACTTACACTTTACGCCGGTCTTCTGTGAGGTCGTGGTACTTACCCCGGACGAGCCTGCCCATTCGTGCAACAGCTGGGGCTGTTGCGTGGTCCTACCACCGTGACACAAATAAATGTCTACTAACATGAATTAAGCAATTTTTTTCTGCTTAGTTATGGCACATCTAATGAATATTTGAACTATCTTGTCTGCACTTGAATCTTGCACTGCATCTTGAATACAGCAAAAAAAATCATGTCTTTTGTATGGGAGCCCTTAAATATAGTTTTTTTAGTAATTTTTTGTTAAATCGGCAACAGAAATAAATCATATGTGAAAATTTCAACTGTCTAACTACCACGATTTACAAGATACCCTGGTGACAGACAGACAGCGATGTCTTAGTAATAGGGTCCCGTTTTACCCTTGGGGTTCGGGACCCAAAAAACATGTAATTTAACTATTATTCCGAGAAATAATTTATAATTAAATTTCAATGAGATATGAATACAATACTGAGTTTGCAATTGCTCAATGGCTGTATATAATTGTGATTTATGTTTGTATACATACACAATGCGTAAACATTAAAATTCATAGAAAAAGTACGAAAATATTGTCGCCGCTGTGGGAATCGAACCCAAGTCTTCGGCATTCGCGGCCGGACGCTTTAGCCACTAAGCTAAACGGCTGATTACCACACTGACGAAATAAAATTTTAAATTTCTACAATGCGTATACTCTCTTACTTCGTATTTAAATATTTTTTAAATGGATCTTAGATTGAAAATAAAAACAAATTTAATTCTGACGATTTTATACACATTTTAAAATTGGCCAGCACTTGACTGCCATCCCACCTGATGGTAAGTAGCGATGCAGCCATTGATAGTAAACATGCTAGCTCAGTAAAAACCTATTCACTCTTGCCTTGAATAATAACTACAGCTACTTGATTTAATTTAAATTCAATAAGTATTTATGTTTGCAATAAATTGATTTGAAAAAATTGGTAATTATTATCTATTTAATAAGAAGCACAAAGTGAAATCACAAACTAAAAGGTAGTGAAAGACAATCTCGCCCTACCATAATCAAAGGCTCGAACCTGCACTGCCTAAAACTAGTGTTTCTCAAACTTTCTTCTTGTACAATTATTTATGATAACAATTACCAAAACTACTTACTATAACTTTCATTTAAAAACAATCGACACTTGAAACTGCATGATGAAATGTTTGGACAGTGCAGCTGCAACGTTTTTCAAAGTACCGTTATACTTTCCACTGCCCACCGATTTTTATTTAGAACTCCCTCTATATTATTTAGTTTCAACCACCTGCTCAGATAGCCTCAGCGCCAACGGGGTTGCGGTACCGCCAGGTTTGAGAATTAATTATTACTGGTACATATTAATTACTGCCTATGGAGTAGATAAGATTGAAAATAAAGAAACAAAATGCACCAAATTTAAAATATAAATATCTAATTATTAACTGTTTTCTTGATAATATTATGTTTATTGCTTATCATCTCCCTTTTGAATTTCTAAATGTTGTTCTAGATTAGACACAAGTGCCTGTTGACTTTGATTAAGCTGCTTAACAAGACATACAGCAGCACTTTGAAGAACATTGCACAATTGACTTCTAGCAACATCTAGACTTGGAAGTTTACTAAATTCTAAAAGTTCATTCTTTGACATCAAACGATCTTGAATTATGCCCGCTGTAAAAAAATAAAATTTTATAGTAAATTCAAACATCTCTAATGAAACTTAGTTATTCTTATAATTAGGACATCAGTTAAATAATAGCATGAAAAGGAAATATAATAAAATACTGTATTAAACAATATAAATAGTTGTATAAGAGTTTATAAAAATTAAGAATATTTTTTTGTTATGCCTGTTCACTTGAAAAGTTGCCAAGTGAGCAGGCATGCCACCTGATGTTAAGTTAATACTACCTCCCTTAGACATCTGCTACATGAAAATTGGGCTCCGTCTACCTCACACACTAGACGAAATGCGAAAGTAATATACTTCCACTTTATGCCGATCTTGTGTTGTGGTACTTACCAGGATGAGCCTGCCCATTCGTGCAATAGCCGAGGCTGCTCTGTGGCCCTACCAGTCATATAGAATATAAATTTTAGTCCAATTAATTGCTTTTACATACCCATCACTATAAGCTGAGGAGCTTTCTTTAAAATTTTAAACATCTTATCAGCGCTTTCTGGTTGACCAAATATAATATTCTGATGTGAATTAAACAAGCAATTAATAGCTTCATAACGAGTTCCCATTGTAGCCATGCTAACAATTTTCTTTCCATATGTTCTTAAATGCATATTATTTTTTCTTAAACTAGCAAAGATTTGTGTTTTGTCCTCCATGCTAATTGAATTCATATGTAAGAAAATAACCATCTTAGAAGTGTTAAACCAATCCAAACACTCCTTGGCTAATATTCTTTCAAATGGGTTATCAATTTCAGTAAATCGTTTACGATTTACTTTGCCACAAAGAACGACATCAGGTAGGGTATATTTAGGTGGACGATAAATTGGTTTTGTGAAGTCTAACAGAAGTTGGCGCTCAAAATGTGGTTTCCGTGGCTTTTGAATATTTATCTTTCCACGAAATCTTTTTGCAATTAAAAACGTAGCAGGTGGTTGTAATAGCCCTGAAAATACAAATAATTGTAAAAATGTAAACGATTTTAAATACATAACAGTATAAACGTATACTACATGTTGTATTTGAAGTACCTTTATTTAGAGAAGCCATTTTTATAGTCCTTTAAATTTTCTTAATGTTTAAGCATATGTTTACTTAAAAACGGAATATACTATATGTGATCATAACATTAATAAATGTTAGATCCCAATAACCTAGTTTTTGAACACTAGTCGCTATAAAGTAGAACTAGAATACTAAACTAACAACAAGTATACTAGACTAGAACTGTCAACTAGGGATGTTGAAAAAATATCGATAAATCGAAATTTTGATTCTATATAATACATCGAAATATTAGGATCCAATACAACGATACAAAATATTCAATATCGAACATCTTATCACAATTTTTTTTTTTCGAGTCGGTTCGAGTCAATTATTTTTTACTTTTTAATACCTTTAAACTAATTGAAAGGAAATTAATATACAGCAAATAACTGCTACACTTTACAGTCTGTTAAATATATATTGAGAGCAGTGTGAGCCGTGATAGCTCAGTGTCCGGCTCTCCTCGCCTTTAATTCAATATACTCGAACCGGTGCCGGCACCAATCAAGTTGTTAAATTTAAGTGCTTACTTTATCACGTGCTCAACGGTAAAGGAAAACATCGTGAGGAAACCTGCATATTTTCAAAATAACAAAAAAAATATTTCGAAGATATGTGAAGTTCGCCTATCTGCAGTGGGGCAACGTGGTGAACTATGCCCTGATACCCTCTGTAAAAAAGAGGAGGCCTTTGCCTAGCAGTGGGACATATATAGGATGTTACTTTACTTTACTTTACGCGAGACATCGACATAGGTACAAATATGGATCTCGTATATGAAGTTCCGTGTAGTACTTTATTTCGTAATGTCACTTTAGTAATTTAGTTTATTAGTGTTAATGTCCCACGTATTATCGTTTATTTAACAAACTGTAGATATGAAATAACCTGTTGTGTTATTTATCAATAACTACTATTGTAAAGTGTTGTCTGTTAGTCTGTTATTTAGCTTTTAACATGAGATACAATTAAGTGATTATTGTTCATCCATCATACAGGATCAGGACTACCTTAATAAAAGTTTATAAATATAATGAAATTAGATAACATTGTTGTGCATAATAATTTTCATTTATTTTGTATATGATATTGCAGCGGCAATGGTGACACCGTTATTTTTCCCAAACGTCCAAAAACAACAAAGTCGCATTGGGAAACCACATTGCTTTATTCTATTTATACAAAAATCTTGATTGAATTACTAGCTCCAAAAAGCCACCAATCGCCTCGATCACTGGTCTTGCAAACGGAGAATCGCCATTAAGAACAATCTTATTACAACTCTAATTGTAAATATGCAAAAAACTAAAAGTAACATCTCAGATGTTACTTTTAAGCCCGGTTTCCAAAACGCTGATCATCGTATAAATTAAGTAATGAGCTGTAAAATAGCTTTTCAAATAAAAAAGTCAAATATGTTTATTCAATATAGAAGCATTACACTTACTTATTGAACGTCAAAAAACTACCACCAGTTCGGAAGGAAAGCCACTGACCTGAAGAAGAACCGGCGTAAGAAACTCAGCCGCACATTTTCTTTAACTTGACAAAAAATAACAAATATGTGTACAATTTATTAAATTGCAATTGGAGCGATCAATTCATTTCCAGAGTGTGTTATCATTCAAATAATCAATAATACTATAATAGCCATTAACACACAAACGATCCTTTACAATTTTTTGAATTTAGCTACGGATTCATTTTGAACGTTTTCTTGGATTATATTGTAAAAGCGTATACATTGTCCCATAAAAAATTTACTTATTCTACGCAATCTAGTTGAGGGTAGAACTTATTTATGCTTGTTCCTAGTATTTACATCATGCACATTACTAAATCTTGAAAAGTCATTCTTATTTTTGTGGACATACATAATATTTGCAAGTATGTACTAAGAAGCTACAGACAATATTTTTATTTCTTTAAACAAGTTTCTTAGTGAATCTTTGGGACTCAGGTCATAAATTCCTCGAATAGCTCTCTTTTGCAGAATGAAGATAGTGTTTATGTCGGCTGCATTTCCCCAAAGTAGAATGCCATAAGACATTATACAGTGGAAATAGCTAAAATATATCCGACCAGCCGTATCCACATCAGTCAACTGTCTAATTTTTTTGACCGCGAAGACTGCTGAGCTAAGTCTACTCGACAGTTTATTAATATGGGGGCCCCACTGAAATTTGGTATGTTCAGTTATGCCAAGAAATACAGTATGTAGAGTCAATGAGGTCTAACGCTTCCCCATGTAAAAGTAAGTACATCAGTTTTTACACTTTTTACGTTGGCGAGTTGTAAATTTAATACATTTCGTTTTTTTTCTATTCAACATAAAGTTGTTAGCACTTAACTAATGCACTATAGTGGAGAGTTTATTGTTAACATCGTCATAATTTATGAATGTGGTTTAACTTTAAAAATGAAAGAAGTATCATCAGCAAACAATACTATCTCATTATTAACAAGACAGGCAGGTCATTTTTGTAGATAAGGAAGAGAAAAGGCCCCAGAATAGATCACCCTCAGGGAACAATGTTTCAGAAATCGAGCATAATACCCGGGGCATTAGTCTTTTATGTTCCTGCATATTCTTCTTTAGTTTGATGCAGAATAGTTGCCATTTGGTCCCATAAAAATTTACCATAGTTTGGCCAAGTAGTTTTCATTTTATGAACACTTACAATATTTTAATGTTTGTCAACAAATCTTACAAATTAAATTCGATCCACTTCCCGGTTACCGGCTGAGCTAAAATTTTGTATACATGTGTAAATCGCAAGACAATGCAATGTTTTTATGACATGGAGCTGATCTGGTGATGGAGCTGGAAGCTGGCCAAAGGAACTTCGCAATGAAACGACAGAACCTCATCGCGTTTAGGTAAATTTGAATCGTATTGACGAGTAGTTTGTCTTTCATTGGTGACCAGGATCTGATGATGGAGCTCCATCTTCAGCCGTCCATGGACATATGCATAGGGTTGCAGTTGCGTTTTCTTCTTATAATAAAGTGGGCTTCGGCTACCTCACTCACCAGACAAAACGCAGAAGCACTTTACCGCGATCTTCTGTGAGGTCTATGACAGAGCTGGAATGTGGCCATAGGAACTCAATAATTAAGGAACACAACTGCGTCGAGTTTGATTCGTCTTAATGGATGGACCGTTTTTGATGGGTGGTGAGAGGTGGTGGTTTAGTGGACGTGAGAATGCGACCCCGTCTTTGGGAAATAAAATTTGCTCGTACCGTTTGTTATGAATGTGGATTCTGTCTTTGATTAGATGGATGAGCGCTGAATATTATGAATGAATATTTTTTTTGTCATTTATGAACATATTTTTAACGTGGACAATGTAATTTTAGTTTGTGTACGGCTATTTTAGGAGATCTGGTAACGAAGAAATAAATAAAAAGAAATTTCAAAAATAAGTAAGCCTACCAATAGCTACTTAAAAATGCTATACAGGGAGGCTTTTCTAAGTGTATCCATCCAAAAGTATACGACGCATTTATGAATGACTACCGCATTGTCAACAAGTTCTGTTTTCTAGGGGATAGTATACCTACCATTGTTTTTTGTTTTTAAAAAGATTTATTTCAATAAACGATTACACTACCGAGTCTGAACGTACTGTGTGAGTTTGGGCACTTTTATAAAATCCACCCTGAATAATATGTGATAATAAAAAGCGACGAAATGTTACGAACAAAACAAGAACTTTGCAAATCCGTCGATATATGACGAAGTTATGCCCGAACATACATAAAAAGAATATAAACACACGAATTGATAACCTCCTTTTTGAAGTCGGATAAAAATACCTACTTTTTACTTGTGTCTATGATTATAAAAATTAAATTATAACTTCTTATCACTTGACCACGACTACGTGACCCCCCCCCCCCCCCCCCCCCCCCCCCTCCCTGGCACCAAATCTGGATCCGCCCTTGGTCTGTGCGATGTTTTATGAATCGATCAGTCTGATTCGATTTTACCAAGTACTGAAGTATCGAAAGATGGATTCGATGCTATAAGTACTTGTTAGAGAAACAAAAGTATCGAGTACTTACTCGTATTTACTTATATCGGGATATCAATTGAATATCTCAATATCAAATCTGTAGTATAACTTTACTCTATGATCATATCCCTAACCTAAACCTGAAAAGGATGACAATTTGACAAATTCAGTAATAAACAGTAATAAACGTAGTGGTTAATGGTTATATGGTTATATTCTCTTTGCATTTGCAATTTTGCATTAATCGTTAATCGTTTGATCAATCTGATTCTGTAACATGTGATTTATTTAATTATAGGAGTCCAATCTAGAGCCATTTTCAATAAATTTAAAAGTCTATCTTTAATTGATTGCTATATATTTTGTCATTTTTATTATTGTTTAACTTGGTTATTATTATTTATTAGGTTATTTCTGACTTACAATCATTAGGAAGTTTGGATTTTTCAAGATTATTTATATTTAACATCAGAACAATGCGAGTTTATCAAGAAGACACCCCGCCATCATCGGTCAACGGTGATGAAATTATCGGTATGGATGAGGAGAATATGATGTACTTCGAAGAAATGGATGATATGCCTGAAGACTTTGAGGAGATGGAAGAAGTGTCAGATCAAGAAGAAGAAGATACTGAGATGGAGCGCCCTGTGGATCATGCTGTCACAGTTTTTAATAAACACACTGGGTCAGTATTCTGCTGTGACCTTCACCCAAGTGGTAAATGTGCAGTTACAGGTGGAGAAGATGATAAAGCATTTGTTTGGTCTGCTGACAGTGGTGATGTTATTATGGAATGCACGGGTCATAAAGATTCTGTTATATTTGTTGGCTTCAGCTTTGATGGAACATTTTTAGCCAGTGTTGATATGAGCGGTCTTATAAAAGTTTGGAAATGTAACCTAGAAAATGCCCAACAAGAGTGGACACTAGCATTTGAATATGAAGCTGATGATTTACATTGGGGTCTGTGGCATTTTGGAACAAGAGTACTCTTTTGTGGGGCTTCAACTGGTGATATTTTTGTATTTAAGATTCCTTCAGGAGACACAAAAATCTTACCTGGTCATAATATAAAGACAGAATGTGGTAAGGTAATAAATAGTTAAATTTCCTACATCTTATTGTTTACTAAGTTTAAACTGTTTTAATAATTATCTTCATAGCTTTGTAAATCTATATGATGAGGCTTATAAGAGTTGTTTAACTGTTGAAACAGTATAAAATATTTAAAAAAATTTAAGTTCAAAGACATCTTTCAATTTATAAATCATTCTTCATATTTTGTGTTCTCATAGATGTTTCAGGATGGTGTCCGTTTAGCATGTGGGTATGAAGATGGTTCAGTAAAAGTTTGGGATCTAAAGACAAATACTGTACTCCAACAATTGCCACCAAATATTCATCAAATGCGAGTAACTGCTATTGACACTCATCCCGAAAACAATTTAGTTGCTTCTATATCTGCTGATGGTAAGTATTTGATTCAGGATATAAGAGAAAAAGCACCACCTTTAAAAGATGATTTAGTAAACAATTTACTGTCTAAAGAAGGGATTAGTTTCTTTAAATAAAAGAAAAAAATTATGATTACTTTAAGTTTTAGTGCTAGCCTCTGCACTGAAAATGAAACTTAAAATATTGACTTTTTATACAGCAAGTTACTCAGAACATGCTGGTCCGATTGCAATATAGGCGTATTCAAGGCAAGAGTGAATAGGTTTGTACTGGCCTAGCAAGCTTACCATCAACTGCTGCATCACAACTTAGCCATCAGGTGGGATGACAGTCAAGTGCTGGCCAGTTTTGAATTTAAAAAAAAAAGGTTTAATCACATCAAGTAAAAAAATCCAATCACATCCCACAAAATAACATTTCACATAAATTTATCTTTCTTTTTAATTTTTGGCCTAGGCTTTGCGCTCAATTTCTAACTTAAATGTGAAAAATGTAAACAAACTCATGTTTTAGATGAGTATATACCTATTTACAGAAAATATTTTACAGAAAGAAGGTTATATAACAAACTTAATAACTAGTATTTAAAAATATATATTTTCTTGTTTCATTTAGGTAATCTAGGTAAGGCTATTCTTATGACATCAGTCAATGGTAAAATTGTGTCTCAATTGGAAACTGAGAATGATCTAGAAGCAGTGGCATTTTCAAATGCTCAGTTGGGATATTTTGCTTTAGGTAAGCATACATTCTCATTAATAAGTAATTAATGTCATAGTAAGATGCTTCAAACCTGTAAGGATATCATAGAAATAGCTTAATAGATTTAATTTTGTTAATTGTCTTTTCACTGACTTTGTCCAACCACAAATGTCTGGTTTCAACACTGTCACCTACTGGTTTTTAAAACTTATTATTGCACCTAAGAAAAAACAAATAAAGAATCTTATTTAACGGTGGTAGGGCCACGCAGCAGCCTCGGCTGTTGCACGAATGGGCAGGCCCGTCTGGGTAAGTACCACGACCTCACAGAAGACCAGCGTAAAGTGGAAGTATGACAAATACTTTCGCGCTTCGTCTGGTGAGTGAGGTTGCTGGAGCCCAATTTTCAAAAGGTTGTCAACGCATCTGTAACCCGTAACAGATGTCCATGGGCGGCGGTATTCACTTAACATCAGGTGAACCGTCTGCTCGTTTGGCAACTTTTCACATAAAAAAAAATCTCCATGCACATTTTGACATTCGGGTAGTAATTATTAAAAAAGGGCATTGTGATCATATTGTGTTGTATTCATCATTAATCAAATGGGGAACTTTTTGCCATAGCTAGGAACTTAATCCGACCATAATAATCAAGTTAATGGAATGTTTAGTATGTGGCAAGGAAATTTTGCATTTACAGTCTAATATTGCATAACTTCTATCAATTTCAGGTACATTAAATGGTGCTGTTACTATTTGGGATGTTGGAAGACAAATGATCAGGCATCATTGTTCAAAATCAGAGGATGATGTAGCAGCAGGGGTTACCAAGTTGTTTTGGGTAAAGGACCAGCTTGTAACTGGTTGCCTTGATGGTTCAATAAGAGTATATCAGGGAAGATCTGGAGAAAGAAGTTTCATGCTAACTGGACACTGGTCAGAAATACTTGATTTGTGCTATAATGAAAAAGAAAACATTCTATTATCATCTTCTGATGATGGCACTGCAAGAATATTTAAGTATGACACAACATGTGATTAAAGACAATAAGCCTGTTAATTGTTAATAGTAATAACTTTTGAGTGGAGACAATTACTTGTAATATTGTTTATTTTGTTACAAATAAATACTTTTAGATGTTACATATCTTTTCATTAAAATTTTGAAAATTTAATTTATTTAATTTACATTTAAAAAAATATTTTGCTGAACTACTAAATCCATTATTCATATAAGGTTAATTTTGTGTTAATTTCAATAGAACTATCTATATAATAAAAACGAATAATATATAGGCCAATATGTTCTGCAAAGAGAAAATTTGTAATTAACCTATATGTTTACAATAAAGCTGAGTTATCTCACAATACGCATATATATGTGATGTGGCTGTAACAGTATCACTGAATTGGAATTTGTGCAATTTTGATATAGTACAATGATACTGTGCTTAATTTTTTTCGCGAAATAATAATATGTTATAAATTCCTGGACTATGTTAAACACATGCATACCTACTACAACATATTTTTAATTATGTTTTAAAATTATCGTGGTAGAAAATAGTTTTTTCATATAGCGATTTCGTGTGGGTATATTAACAGCCAAATCTCTACATAATTATAAGCAACTAGCGGATCGGATAGACGTCCTGTACACGCGTCTTCAATTCGATAATTTCAAACTCTGAATAACTTTGTGAATCTAAACCATTCTCGAATCCACCAGAACGCACACAAAAAATTTCATTAAAATCGGTCCAGCCGTTTAGGACTGAGTTCAGTGACATACACACGTACAGAAGAATTATATAAGTATATAAAGATAAACAGGTACTTATCGCGGTTGGGTGTCAAACCCCCGACCCATGGCGCATAAGTTTAAGCACTGCTTGAACCGAGGCATCAATTTGATCCGAGTAGCAGACTTTGATTGTCAATTTGTATCTAAATTATTTTTTATGTTAATTGACAATAATGACATACATCAATTAAAAATATTTCGATTACCAGGACGATTTCAAACTACCCGTAGAATTTTAATTTTAAACGGTTCTTAGCAATTCTCTTCAATTCATAACCCTCTATTTTTAAATTATACCGTTAACGACTCTTTAGTTTTCTTAGATTTTTTCGCTTTAGTTCTCTCCACCCCTTTTAGTTTTCTAATAGGAAAACGGAAGTTAGTTATCCCGTGAATCACTAATGAGTAAATTAATGTATTTGACTCAGATTTACATACTTTTGTACTTATTTGAAATTTTAACAGAATCTTCACTTTAATACTGTACAGTTTCTGTCCACTAACACTGTCATTGACCTCCACGAAACAGCCATTGTTACAAATGAATTGCTCATATCCTGTGTAGGCAACTACATCTTACAAGTCTATCAATAAAACGTGTTATCAGGCATCTCACCAAAGATTATCACCGGATCTATTTTTACTGAAACTAATTGCTTTTGGGGGGGAAAGTATGCCAAACGCACACGTGCCTGTAGAGAACGAGACAGATATCTTTCAACCGGTTGTTCAAACTTGGCAATGAATTCACATGGTGCAAATCAAAGGCAAAATCTGTCCTGTTTCATTTGTAAATAGAGTTAAAAATCGTAGAGTCCGTTTTTACTCATGACGTTTTGGACCTGAAGCAACATCATGGCGGTAGACGGTCGTGGTTAACTTGGAAAAGTATGAATAGTAAAGTGGGGGCGCGCAACGTCGAACGTGTCGTGTCCACATCGCAACATAATTCTTACGAAGTTTCGATCGCATTCAGAAATTTGTTCGTTTTTACTCTACAAACTTTTTCCCCTTCATTCGACGGTGATCAAGCCTCTTATATTTTTATATCGCTTAAAGTTTAATCCGAGCGTAGTTTTAATTTGAATATTTTAACCTGGTGTTCCTCGATAACTTTATATGACAATATCCGCGGTGCGTTTATTTTACACCGTGCTTGTTATCAGCATAAGTGTTGTGGTTAACAATTTTTATTCATTATTATCGGTACATGGGTACTTTATGGTGTTCCGTCTCGCACGTGGTGTTTCCCGCGGTAGAGCAAGCGACGATATGATGCAATGTCCGCATAGCGGAGGATCAGAGGTTTTGCAGTCAAATTTTAATATGACATCGGATGTTTTCCCGGGTATAAATTCAATTTAGAACTTTTTGTTGTTCTGAACATTTGGGTTTGCTTAATTCGCGTATAGAGATAATTATAAAAATGGCAAAAGTGTCCGCTACTCAAGGCTTGCCGCTAAAAGCTATCGATGCTGGGGAAGGCGGTGATGAAGCAGATGATCGCACAAGTCAAGGGGTTCGCCTGAAGAAGGAGTTGAGCTTGTTAAATGGTGTGGCGATAATAGTGGGGGTCATAGTCGGATCCGGGATCTTCGTGTCCCCTAGTCTGGCCCTAAAATATGCTGGTTCCAAAGGCATGGCATTAATAGTATGGGTGTTGTCAGGATTCCTATCTATGATTGGTGCCTTATGTTACGCAGAACTCGGTAAGTGCAATTTAATTAACACAATTATCTTTTTGGTTCAGTCGTATCCCTAATTTCGAATATTTGCATTATTCATGGAACCTGAAATCCTTGTAACATAATAAATCGTTTTCATAATATTGTTCAATCGAAACAACTTTAATTGATAATTTACAATAACAGTAATAATAACGTTATGATTCAATTTTGGTTAATTTTATATTCGTAGCTACCCATATATTATTTTACATAAGTAGGTATTTAGCTGATCAATTATAAATTTAGTAAACTCAATAAACAAAGCCGATTTACTTAATTAATTAAGAAAAAAAAAAAAAACAAAACATAAATTGCATAAGTTAACATCAAAATACGAAATATCTAAACTGTTCAAGTTTCATGAACTTTATCAATTTTCTGTTACAAAGCTTTAAAGCCAAATTAGGCAATCTAGCAATAAACCATATAAGGTATGTATTTGTAAATAGGTATTATGTATAATGGACAATATGTAACAGTAGATACATACAGATGAAAAAAAAAATTGTACACGATTATTACAACATCAAAAATAATGTGTTATATAGGTATTAAAGGATTCAAGGACTTAAAAGCTTGTAATAATATGATAATAATTTTAAGGTTATTAGAAACTGACTGAAACTAAATTAACCACTATTTTAAAAACAATTTTAATTTCAACATTAATGTCTAACATCTCACGTATCAATATACCTAATCTATCTTTATATTCATAGCCAACTTATCTATCGGAATTTGATTAGTAGTTAACCCCTAGATGAATAAGACAGTAATTTTTTTTATACAATAACCTCGTGAGAATGTGCGTTAACGTCATTAGCATGCCTTGACGTATATTTAAATTGTTTACATTAAACAGAAGGTATAATGAACGCAATGGTTTGGAAGACTATTTTTCAATTATTTCGTTATTGTTTAAGTTTCATCATATATTTATTTATTTAATGAAATGTTTTTGTATAATATTTCTATCTATATTTATTTCTTTACTAATTGGATTCTCATTCAACACAGTTATTGAAGTGAAATGAGAGTGTGTTGGGTGGTCGTTGCATCCGGCAAAAAAAATGATATTCACACGTTGCTACACACTACATAATCTTGATTTATGTTAAACACAAACCTTAAACGCACTCTGAGTAGATATAATGCGTTAGTTGCTTGAACCTTTGATATTTTCATACATTGTTCAAGTTTTTTTCTTTTACTTTTATATTTTTATTATTTCACTACATAGATTTATGTTTTGTCGCATTGGCAAAATGGGCTCGCATTGGAAACTTGGTGATCGTTGGCTAAACAAATCGTATGATACTCTCGCGAAAAGACCCTTAGACAAGAATACGAAGTCGCCAATAATAATATTTTGATTTAATTAAACCTTCAAGACTATGAAAGACGTAGAATCGCATTATAAGACCCTATTATTTATTTATATAAAATTACGATAATAGGAAATATAGATCGAATATAGATAGGAGCCTATGTCGATGCCCCTCAATCTTTAATAAAATGTAAAATAATGTGTTTTAAAGTGATGATAATGCAACGAATTATAAAACAAAATTCGCTGTTAAGCGCCCAGTGACTGAGACCACTACTGGCACATGATAATCAAGAGGCAGTAATAATAATAGGAACGTGATATTAACTTACTGGATAGTTAAGGATAAATGTAATGTTTTGTACGAGCTTACTATTGCAATGTAAATAAGTGGGTGTCAAAATGTCCTAAAACAATGAAATACGAGTGATAATGTCAGTGACAATAACAAGTATTGGTAACAATATACAAATATTGATGACAAGTACCGACTCTACTATGATATAATTATGATCGAGTAGTAGTGATAGTGATAACAGACATGCGGACGTCTCAAACGACTTCAAAAGGAGGAGGTTCTCAATTCGACTGTATTATTTTTGTGTTTGTTACCTCATGACTTTCGACCGAGTGTACCGATTTTAATGATTATATATTTATTTCAAAGCTGATGCTTCCAATGTAGCCCTATATTAGTTTCATTGGTATTGGATCTTGGGCTCCGGAGATATTGAGATAACAAATGAATTATAAAAAAAATCAATTATAAAATGAATACAGAGCGAGATTTGAAGTCAGTTTTGTTATTAACTTTTATCCTAAGTTTAACAATATAAAAACAAACAAAACCTCGGGTTGCCAAATTGACGACTTTCTCGTCGTTGCTGCAATTAGGAACTAATGAATAGTGATAAGTGAGTTATTATAAATTAGTTTATGTCCTCTCGTTAAGGAATATCTTCAAAGTTTTAGTAAATAGGCGTAGGGTCGTCAATTAACCATCTTATACCGCCTTTCATCATCCAACTTTTTACATAAACAAGAGCATCTAATGATTAGGCCCGTGTACGACATTTCGGATTCGTCCTAGGTATTGGTTTTAATAATATCTATATAGACAAAAGGCGATGTTGCATTAGTGATTAATTACAACAGTGAAAATATCTTGATTTATATTTTGAAGTTCATTGAAGTTCGTAGATCCGTGTTTCGTAGTGTAAGCCGTCAGCGCTGACCATCAGTCGAGCACTGTTTCCAGCCTAAACATTAGAGAAGAGTAAAGTCTTTGATTATATAATTTTCAAGTATATATTTCTTATAATCAAAGAGTAAAGCAATAGTAGAGCATTGCACATTCCCTGGTCCGGTTTTATATATCAAAGTTTTTGCCTCGCACAAACTTTTAAAAATTAAATTATGAAAAGGGCAAAAATAAATTTATCTTTCAATAAACTTTGAAAGATAAAAGATAGATTTTTCATAATAAATTAAAATGGCGATACATCGAACACCCAATACACTTATTAAATTACGATACAATGAAATTGTAAGAATCCCTGTCAGGGTTTTCACCTAAAACGGGTTTTCAACAGTAAATTAACATCTGTGAAAAAAGTAATAAATTTATATCAGCAGAAAAACAAGGCTCAAAATAATAAAAGTGTACGTGTAAATCATTATTTATATGTATAAATGAAAACTTTCGTTAAAAATTTTCAGGTACAATGATACCGAAATCTGGTGGAGACTACGCCTACATAGGTGAAGCTTTCGGCCCGCTCCCCGCATTCCTGTACCTGTGGGTGGCCTTGTTTATCCTGGTGCCTACTGGGAACGCTATCACCGCTCTGACCTTTGCCAAAAACATCCTTCAGCCACTGTGGCCGGCATGCGAACCGCCCACAGACGCCGTCAGCCTGATAGCAGCTGTCGTAACATGTAAGTTATAGCATCACTCTTAGTATGTACTTCTTCTGTTGCAGGATTGGCAAGCTAGTGTTGCGTAAGGTTTTTGTACATTTGCGTTTCTTCTTATGCTCATCCGGTTAGAGGTTGTCAAAGCAATTGCAAATGACTTCCTTGGCTGGCAGTTATCACTTCCCATCAGTTGAAACACTTGCTCCTTTTTCTTGTCTCTTATAAAAATAATTTTCCTTCGTAGTTTTTGCGATAGGATCACTTTTACCCATGAATTATGTAAGTTAGTGTACTCTTAATAAGACATGGTTAAGGTAAGTTAGGAATGTGCCATTTAAGTTGAATTTTTTTTAACGAACTTATTACAAAAACGCATTGAGACAAAAGATACCCAACTATGGGTTTTACAAGTAACTGATAAATTTCATGTGTAGGTTTCAGTGCACGCTAAAAATTGTATCTTATACCATTAAACGAGCAATTCTTGTATATACAGCGTGTCGTTACCATCGCGACAATAAATGAACACACTTCTAACGCTACTTACCAATAATCATAAAAAATATTAACGTTAAACAAAATCCATAATTAAAAAAAAATATTTTTCAAACAAACTAATTAAGTAAAAAAGAAACAAAATTTGTAACAAAATACATCTCGCGCCACACCGTCGTATGACAAGCCTCTCCTTCTAACAGTATGTTTTGTCTCTTTTAAATTTATTCAACCCATTCATATCCTTTGTGACGTTTACAAATGAACTTTACGTTACAGTTTTATACGTAAGGGTGTTCTAAAATTGTTTGTTTTTGAAAATTTAATAACTCGGTAAATATTGATGTTTAAAGAATGTAAATGTTTAATACAATTTTAAAAAATTATCCTCTATATGTGTGTTCATTTATTGTCGCGGTGGTAACGACACGCTGTATATATAATCGGAACCTCGGAAAAGGCTCCAGCGATTTTCATGAAATTTAGTATGTGCGTAGATTCGGGGGCGAAAAATCGATCTGGCTAGGTTTCATTTTTAGAAAATGTCCTTTTATCCCTGTTTTTCAGGGAATGAAATATATCATTCGATTATGACGGTAAATTTCGCCGCAAAAATAATGTTATAATAGCTCGGTCGGTAATCGGGCGGCCCCAAAACAGACAGCCGCGGTTCGTATCACGATCATTTACACACTTATTTTTTTGCTTTTTTTCTATACCAGATCATTGCTTTCTTTATTTCCAAAATACATGATTTACCAAAAAAAACCTCCAGGTACTGTAATATAATGTATAGAGATTAATAACAAGAGTATGTAATTTTTCAATAAGCAAAGAATGTATAAGCTAAAACCAGATAAACTAGATACGTTTATGTAAATAGAACATAATTATCTGTTTTTGATTTCCATTTTGTAACTTCACAATGCTATCCAGTTTCACTGTTATTAATAATTTGCATTTCGCTTGACCTAGAGATCGGACTGTCTCCGCCTTTAATATTCGATACCGATTTCATCATCTGTGACGCAACATGTTTCGCGCCGAAATTGGACAGGTGTAAGCCCACGTTCTTAGCATTTGGAGATAGCGTGTTCGACAGCGTATTCCAACCACACATGCTAATGTTAGAAATGAATTATTTTTCCAATTTGAATTTGTAATTTTTCTTTTTAAATACTGTTTCCTCAATAAATTTAAATAAGTCTTATTAGTTTTCAATTTATACGGGATGATTGTCCCCGGTGTATAAGTTACATAAAGCAGGAAGCTCTTAATTGATTTTTGGCCAAACTAACTCTGAGTGGTTGAAAATTTAATTTAAATAGCGAGTAAATGCATTCTACCATTGCATTGTTTGTGATATTACGGAACTTTTTTGAACATACGAGATTGCTATTATTATTTTATTGTTCATTTTCTGTAGACAGGAAAATCTATGCTATATAAAAATCCGAACATCCGCTATGTATAAATCCGATCCCTATCACTGAACGCAGAATGTGCATGTGATACATTTATTTCAGGGCGTAAGAAATCAAAAAAAGGGAAAACTCATAAGCGTGCACAGGGATTAGATCCTGCAAATATATATATATATATATTCTATATATACTATATATAAAAAGTCCGACTTAACTTGATGTATGTTCAATATCGTATATTAAGATATGTATTTAGTACACTGCAAGTTTTTATATATTGCTTTTTATTGAGCTACCTGAACTAGGTAGTTATTTACTACGCCTGCGGCATAGTTTCTGTTGACTACGTTCTAACTTATCTTAAAACCATATATCAACTAATATCTAGTCAGATGATAGTCCATCCATATTTTTGCTTAAAACGGCAGAACCATAAGTCCATATTTATGGGACCACAGAACCACAGTTCCGCCGTTGTAAGAACACGCACTAACAAATGACAGAAAAAATATTATAATACGAAATTCGAAACAAATTATTTTTGCGTTTTCTACTTGATTGATAAAAGCCGATTAATAAGCAATTTGAAGCGTACATAACATATATTAACTCGAAATTATATATCTTAAGACTTCTGTAAGTACGCCGTGTTATTCACCCCGGCTCCTTTCGTGTTCACTCGGTGTAATTGGATTTTTTGTACTTTCTTAAATTACACTTCCAAGGCATTGCGTTGCTGGAAAGACTGCATTGTTATGCATTACCCTATGCGGAGGACCGGTTCCCTTCGCCGAAATCGAGTTTCGATTGTTTATTTCGGCCGCGACGCAACTCACTCCCAGGAATCGGATATGAAATATTTTGGCGATGGAAAAACGTTGATTTATGTTTTCTTGAAAGAACGATCTGTCAGAATGTTAATATGAAAAATAAAATCTTTATAATTCTATAGTCTTGTTGCTTTTAGTGCATTGCACATTTTGAAATAAATGAAAATCCTATAGCATTAGGCCTCTTTCTTATATTTTTTTGATTTTAAGTGCTCATAAAAAGGACCAGACCCCTTTCTTTATAAATAGATAAAAATGTATAAGGTTTATGAAGAACAAAATTTCACGAAACGAGTACATATTTATTTTAGCTTTCATTATCACATTTGGTTAACCAAATTCATAACACAGATTCGTACTATAAATCGATCACTATAATCTTAATTAATTTTCGAAAGTACTATTTTCTAAATTGATAGTTTTTTAATTTTATATATATCGTTTGGTTTAAAATTCGAAGTTTTATTAAAAAAAAATATGGACTTTGAGTAAACGCAAGAAAATGTTATAGGTATTTCAATTCATTTTAATTCTTTGCTTTCAACTTTGGTATATGGATTTCATTTTTGTTTAAACATTTATAAAATTGTGAAATTTTAAACAAGAATGAAAACTATGTGCTATACTATACTATGATACAGTTTTATATACTAAATATCTCAAGATTTCTCTTTGATATGTGTAACGTAATTTTTCCGCCTACAGACATGAGGGAATGATTGGATCAAAGTGCTGTCCACTTCCTTGTAAATGTATATTCGTATTCCACTGCCTAATATAGAAATTGTGGAGATGGCTGTTTACGCTTCGAAATTGAGAACAGCGACTCTGAACGTTAGGCACCGCGTCGGTTGTGGCCGCGTCTTTACGTTCGCGCGTCGTTGGCGCGCTACGCTGATTGTGCCTGACAGGATAATGAGGGCTTCCTCCCGTATCGCGCCGTTATACTCTTACGTGGAATTATCTCGCCGGCTGCACACGCACGGTAAGAGCGGAACCACTAAAATCGCATGTCCAAATGTTCGCTCAAGGAGATGGAGAAGGAAAAAAACATATAAAATAAGCTGAGATTTACGGCCGCGGCACAATCTGCTGCTTAATGTGGTGATTAAAGGGTGGGTGAAAACGTCTGGGTGTGATTCGGTTCGATTCCCGCGGCGACAACAAACTTTTCGTTCATTTTCTACGAATTTTTAAAGCTGAAGCCAGATGTGTCTTGGGATTCTTGAGCTTGACTGTTTAATTATGATCGGCGGGACGCATGGATCACATGTCAAAGAGCTTCACTCTAATCTTATGCTTTAACGATCGATATTTATAGTCGTACGTTCACGATATGAAATTTAATCTATTTCAAGCCCATGTTTGCTTTAACGGGAGCCACAAGGACCAAAAGTGGCATTATGAGTTGCTGACATGTAATTGACTAGCACTTACGACTTTAATCTATATTTAAACAGAACCGGACAAACCCTTTTTTTTTGGTATTACGTAATAACGCCCTACGAAAGGTACTCCTAAATTTGATGGATTTTAAAATAACTCTTTTATAATAAGCCCAAAGTAAATGTATGAACATCAACTATTAACAATATAATATGTCCGTTGTATCTCGTGTAAGAAATCAAGAAATATTTCCTTATAAATCGATTGTACACAAAAATACGCGTCACTATTCGTGGCGTTGTACGCCGGATACCTATTACTTTTAATTTTAAAATTGAAGCTTAACAATCCTTAACCTTGTTCGAGTTTGAATAGGGAGCGCTATTGACCGAGGTTTAGCTCGCTAGGGCTTCAGCTCTTTGTGTCCGCTTTACACTAAAATTGGTGCTGTGCAATGGGCACGTTAACCTTGAGCAAATTCTTAGGGTGAATTGCGTATTGGTCATTAAAAGCAACGGAACTTCGCAGAGAGTTATTTTTACCGGCTTATTTCTTTAGATACTGTCTTATTTCCCAATTTAGAATGTGAACGTAGAAAAATTAATGACTTAGTCGATGCTATCAATCTAAATGAATAAGCGGTTACAAATTGATCAATCATTGACAGATATTTTCTTAAGATGTGGGATAAGTTTACGAAACAAAAAACGAATATTTAAACCGACAACGCAAGTGTTAAAAGGAGAACGTAAAATACCAATGTCAGAAGTGAATTCCAAAAATAAGTTGAGATCTTACGTACTAAGGAATCGATATTCGAGCATGAATAAATACAGCATACATATTTTACATTACTTTCATGTCATAAAATTATTTAATTATGACATTTCATGGTATAATAAAATAAACATTACTAAGGTCTGGCTATCAATTGCAATAATTACGCAAATACAAATAAAATAAAATTGTGATAAGTTTTGTGCCTTGAATTACCCGCGGCTGAATATTAATTTGAAATATCTTTTAATTTTTTTATATAGTCTTTTTTGTTTTCCCAATATAGAAGAGATTTATAAAATTTTCACTACTACGAAAATGGATAGCGGTTTATTGCTATACAAATTAAAGACTCCAGAGAACTTTTTTTGGTTTGGATTGATTAAAATCAAAAAAATCTGAATCTATGAATAAACAAATGAATGAACGTAATTTTATAGAAGTAGTCACAGCAACCTTAGAACGCTCTTCTATGCTTTTTCTTTCTCCTGTTAGGCTGGATGTCAACCTGGCGTCAACGAAGGGAAAAACATCCAGATCCAACCAATCTGTGGGTCTCACAAATACTTTTCTCGTGTTGGAATCACGACGAGACCTATTAGCAAAGAAAATACCTTAGCAATTGCGTCACTGAGTCATCGGAAAAAGCCAAAAAAGCCTATCTTGGTCTTCCATACCAAGATTTATAATATCGTCACTACAAATACATTTTTACTAACAAAAAACCGACTTCAAATGTCTCTTTCCCTGAAAATGTATTTTCTGTTTGATTTTGAGGAGTTCCCAGGTGTATCACCGGAGTCCTAGGTCAAATACCCAAGGTCAATACCCACACAAGTATATTGGATAATATTGGACCACATGGGAGCTAAATAAAAGGCAAAAAGAATTTTCAAAATCGGATCTTAAATTACGGGGCTTTAAGGTACAAACAATAAAAACACAAACAAAGTCGGTTGAGGTACAAACAACGTCGGTTGAAAAATATATACATGGGACCACAAAGTTTCTTTCCAGTTCTGAACGGTTTCAGTAAAGAACGGTACGTACATGTGTAAAGACTATCTGTGATGTAAAAGGTTTAAACATTATATTTTTTTATCGGTAACAAACACGGTCGTGAGTTAAATGTATAAATTTGTAAAAGTAACTTTATTTATCGTAAACGTTACTGATTGTGACTTTATTTTCGTCCCCGAAGTGTGCAATAAACTTATAATCTACATCTGTGCCATGCTTCTGTTATTGTATTTGCAATTTGGTATTTTTATAGGTTATTTTACAACCTGAAATACCTGTATATTACAACTTGAAAAATTTAATTTTCAGGTTTTCTGACGGCCGTCAACTGCTACAACGTAAAATGGGTGACAAGAGTTCAAGACACGTTCACGGCTGCAAAGATTTTAGCGTTGCTGGTCACTTTCTTTGCCAGTCTGTGGTATTTGTTTTCTGGCCACACGGAGAATCTCGAAAATATGATGGAGGGCACTATCACGAAGCCAGGCGAAATTGCCATTGCTTTTTACACCGGGCTTTTCTCATATTCAGGGTGGAATTATCTCAACTTTGTCACAGAAGAACTTAAGGATCCGTACAAGTAAGTAAAATATTTCGTATATAGGTTATATTTTAACAATTTTTCACTTTGCCAAGAATTAAAAAAACATATTAATCAAATAGATTCAAAAGTCTAGATTTACTCTGGATGCAAACATCTGAGAGACAGACTGTAAAAAGATATTCCATTTTTTCTTAAAACAACTATTTTAGTTGAAGAGTTTTAAGCATTATTATTATATTGCCTTCGAGATATAGAGACAACTATTAAAACATCTAGAGATACACATTACACACACTGTAAAAAGACATCAACGTGTGAAATGTAAAAATCTGTTTGTTTTTTCGGGATACTTTGCCTTTACTTTGTTTTTCTAATTTTATTATTAACACCATAGAGGAGGCCTTTGCCGAGCGATTGGGCATTTATAGGCTGTTACTTGACTTTATTTTTACATAAATTCTGTTCACTGCAGAAACTTGCCCCGCGCGATCTGCATATCGATGCCAGTGGTGACCCTTGTGTACGCTCTCACCAACGTGGCGTACTTCGCGGTGCTGACCAACGCCGAAATCCACGCGTCGGAGGCGGTCGCCGTCACCTTCAGCGAGAAGATCCTGGGCGTGGTCGCTTGGATCATGCCCCTTTTCGTGGCCCTTTGCACCTTTGGCTCGTTGAACGGCGCGATCTACGCTTCCTCGAGGCTCTTCTTCGTCGGCGCTCGGAACGGCCACCTGCCGTTAGCGATATCGCTGATAGACGTCAAGCGCCTGACGCCCTTGCCCTCGTTGATATTCATGGTGAGGCAACGACCTATAAGTTGAACAATACATAAATACAATATGAGTGAAAGGAAAACGATTATGACTGCAGTGCAAACGAGAAAGAGCTAAAAAACTATACCAATGATCCGAATCCCCACATTTAGTCTGTCAGGTACCTAAGAACTGTAAATAGATGGTTCTCATGCTCTAAGGCATGATAATGCAAAATATGCGCCGCAGTGATGCATATATTTTTTCGTAAATTGTCATTCAATATCAAGGAGTTAGGTACTGGACGGGCTTCATTGAATTTTTTTTATACGAGAAGGTGACAAGCGACAAAGCTGGCGGTTAACCTGATGTTAAGATAACCACCGCCCATGGATAATTGCATCACCCATAGGGTTGTAGATACGTTTCCACCTTTTAATAACTTTGACCCTGGTTACCTCACTCACCAGACGAAATGCAGAAATCTAACACTGCCTTTTCATGCCAGTCTTTTATGATCTCGTTACGTCCTCGGACGGACCTGTCCGTTCGTGCAACAGCGAAATGTGAAATTTTAATTTAAGAAAAATGTATTTTACTACATTATATTCTACTAGCGACCCTCCCCGGCTTTGCCCGGGCGCATTGTGCATATAAACCTTCCTCTTGAAACACTTTCTAATGCTGAAAACTGCATTAAAATACGTTGCGTAGTTTGATCTAAGTGTACAAACAGCTGGAGCGACTTTGTTTTATACTATGTGAAGATTTAAAAATCTATATTTTATTTCAGTGCGTGGTGACGCTGGTCCTGCTGATGTTTAACAACGTGGAATCCTTGATAGTTTATGTGACAGCGGTGGAGGCGTTATTCACTCTGTGCTCGGTGACCGGCCTCCTTTGGATGCGGTACACTCGACCGCAACTGACCCGCCCCATTAGGGTCAACCTCTTGCTGCCGGTTGTCTTCCTCATCGTGTGCACATTCCTCGTAGTGTTCTCCTGTTTCACGCATCCAGTTGAAGTTGGCATTGGCATCGCGTTCATAGCCCTCGGCGTGCCGCTCTTTTGCATCTTCATAAAGTGGGACAACAGGCCGCAATGGATGCACACTGCCTGCAACGCATTCAACATGGCCTGCTCGAAAATGTTCCTTTGCCTTCCGGAAGATTCTAAAGAATTATGATCACCAAAGCGAGTTTGCGGTGAACATGTTCCGTGCGTGATCTGATGCTACTCGTAACAGTTAAGTTACTCGCGCTGTGCTTTTCATAGCGCGATGCTAAATTTAATCTGCAATGCATAATATTAAGCTGACGATTTTGATTCCTATACATATTTAGGTTAAGTTTATACTTATCGTGGAGTACGATGATTGTAATACATTTCGTATTTAAACATTCCCAATTATAAAGTATGTTTTATTTACAGACCACCCATTGTAAAAATAATGATTCTTTAACAAATTTAGTCAAATATTTGTTAAAGAATCATTATTCTTACAAAACATAGAAGTTCAATGTGGATATTATATTTTGTATTATCAAATCGCCATGTTGGATGCAGAATCGAAAATGAGAGTAGTAAATAATGCAAAGGATGTTTACAAGTTTTAGTAGGCTTGGCGTGTTTCCTAATGGTTTCCCTAATATACTGCCCTTCTTCAAGAACCTATTCGAAAAGCAACTCTATAGTAAGCGAAAAAGAACTACTGTGTTCTGCTGTGGCAGGAAATGAATAAACAGGTGCAAGTGAAGTACCACAGTCTCACAGAAGAGTGGCTTGAAGTGGCGATATTAACTTTTGCTTTTCGTCTGTTCAGTGCAATTACCGTAGCCAACAATTTTCTAATATCTCTATCGAAATGGAGGCAAATGAGCATATTAGCCACCTGATGGTAAGTGCTTAAAGCGCACATGGATACTCAAAAGAAACATCAGAGGAGTGACAAATGCGTTGCCCATCTGTGAGATAGGAAAAGGTTCTCTTCTTGTCGGTCCCTAAGTCGTATCGGTTTGGAAATACCGCTTGCGACAACTGATTCCAAAGCTTGGTTATGCGTGTCAAATAATTGCTTGAAAACCGTACATTCGACCGTCAACCATCGAAGTGGGAGTGATTATATTTGGCAGTTTGATGCGTCGTGAAATTCAGCTGCAGGTATTAATCCGAAAAACACTTGCCTTGATAGATGCGATTAAAAATGCAAAGAGATGAAAATATATTCGCAAGGACAAAATTTCGAGACAATTGGAAAGAATAAAGGGAAACCTGATCGCTGATGATTGGAGGAGCTTTACGTTGGTAAAGCTCTGCAAATAAACAGATATTGTAAAAGCATTAAACACGAGGTAAACATTTCGTCCATTCACCTTCTAACAGAAAAAAGTATTAATGTAAACTTACAGTCATCGAATGCTGATTGTAATCGACCGATTATTTCGCTACAAAGGCTGCTGTAGATGACGAAAGAACGCGTGGGGAACGAAAGAACGAGAGACATGCATATATAGGATGTTAATTTGCTTTGTTTTACCCCCAAGATGGCTGCTAAATTAGAATGACATGCAAGTCAAGTTCATGAACCAACTTCTAGCGTATTTGTGCTTTCTGTGGTAGAGCCATGGAGAAGCTTCTGTCGTTGTCGTTCAGAGACTTTTTCATTCGTTGCCACAGTGTTGCGTTACAAGCGTCTCCTTCTGACAGTATGTTTTGTCTCTTTTAAATTCATTCAACCCATTCATATGCTTTGTGACCTTTACAAATGAACTTTACGTTACAGTTTTATACGTGTGTTCTAAAATTCTTTGTTTTTGAAAATTTTATAACTCTGTAAATATTGATGTTCAAAGAATGTAAATGTATAATACAATTTAAAAAAGTTATCCTCTATATGTGTGTTCATTTATTGTCGCGATTGTAAAGACACGCTGTATATTCGAATTTCTAATGACACTGAAAAATTGCAGTGGTTCACAAAGATAATTTAATACACTATTTGCTGTGGTAAAATTATTTTCTCCCGCTCTCCAAGTCAATAGCAAAATGAGTATGGGATGAAATGAAACGGATGACGTCAGGGTGACATTTCTGCTTCAAGGGACATGGTGGACTAGTTTGGGTCAGGTTTAAAAAGCCTATTTCATTTTTTTTATTCCATTACGCGGATTTTAATAAAAATTAATCTAACCATCTAGGTCTAGATGGTAATGATGTAACAATTTAGCACCCTACCTGTATATTGAAGGCATTGGAGCATAACGGTAGCACGACTGATAAAAGCGTCACGTAATGTATTATGAATCTGACACGTTCCGTTACTTTTTGTATAGCATACAAAATTCGTTCGAATCATAATAATTGAGGAAACTAGCAAATACGTGTTATTTATTATCTTCCGGCGCAATTTGTCACTGTTCAATGGCATCGTTATGGGTTTATATTTTGTCATCTGCTATTTAAAAGAACCTAAAACAGATTTTATTTTAAGACGAGGAAAGCTTGAAAAAATTTAAGCTTGATAAATACAGCACCTTTACTGAATAGTACCTACTTCCACAGACGGATCTGCCCATTCGTGCAACAGTGAAGACTGTAGTGTTAGAAACATCGGGAATTTGAATAACAAATCAGACCCGACATAATTTTTAAGATAAGTAAAGTGAAAAGTAAAGATACCTTTGTTAATGACTTTATTTATTAAAATTTATTAGCTTCCATATGTCCACAAAACTCAAAAGCATGCGGATGGCTTGACTTTTTTTTTGTTTACATAATAGCAATTGAACAGGACAGTGTTTTTATATACTTTTTAGTTCCAACGGTATCGAAAAAAAGGCACAGCGAAGCGTGGCTTAGTTATTTATATTATTTTTATAGAGGTATATTTGTTTTGAGCTCTTGTATCTTGTATTAACTGATGTTTTTGCTTTCAGTCCCGAGACTATTAAAGCTTCATCTGACGCAGAACCGGTGGGCTAGCCAGAACCCACGGGTTTGGGCCCTCCGCTGTGGGTAGGGCCACGCATGTGCTCATGCGTGCGTTTAACTATGGTGTGTCATCTAAGGGCCATCGAGGTCGTGGTTCGGACCGAAACCCCGATGGCCGTCGACTGTGCAATTAGCTAATCGGTGGCTGGGGGCGGTGAGAACCGCCCCGGAACGCGGCGTACGCGTTGTGTTGGTCTCGCCGTGCTCGGAGGCGAGGGCGAACTAGTGTGATTGTTGTTGCACTAACTGTGGGTGTAGTGTTGTCCGGCGGGACCCCCGGCAGTGGGTCTGGCGTGTCTAAGTCCCCTTCCTCGACCGTGGGTCGATTAGGACGTTTCGCGGGCGACGCTTGTTGACGTTCGCGTTTTTGTCGGGTTGGTAATTTGCTGCGCTTACCACCAGAGGGTTGGGATGATGTTCAGCTCTATCGAAGAACCGTTTGGTCAGGTCTTTAAAATATTCGCGAATCGTCGGGAGTCTGCAATCGCTGTGCAGGTCGACGTTGCGTTGATACCACTGCGCACCGGTTGCGCGGCGGATGAACTTATTTTGTACTATTTGCAACTTGTACAAGCGAGTAGGGTGCGTGTGGGCGAAGGTCATGCATGCGTTAGACATAATAGGTCGTACGCAGGTCTTATATAATAATAATTTGTGCCTTAAGGGCATTTTACTTTTAGCGTTAGTTAAATTGTGTAGCCGGCCGGAGACGAACGCGGCTCTATTGCGAACGTTATTAATGTGCGTAGTAAATGACATACGCGAGTCGAAAGTGACTCCTAAGTATTTGACCTTTTTCTCCCAGGGGAGCGGTTGGCCATAAAGGGATATTTGACCCAACTTTCTGCATTGACGAGGGCCATTATAAAGATGTAACGGGTAAGTACTTCGTGTGAAGTGAATCGCCACACTCTTTTCGGGATTTATTTCTATTCTCCATTTGCGGAACCAATCGCAGAGGCGGTCGGCAGCGCTTTGGAGTCGAGTTGTTAGTTAGTTAATTGTTTTGGGCTATAACTATCTACAATACATAGGAGAATAGAAAAAAATAAGATCGTTATATAGATTAATTTGATCAAGAGTATAGTCAGGCAAGTGTAAATAAGCTCCTTAAAATGTTTGTTAACCGTTAAGAATTTTAATTATCATAAGCATATTGTTCGTATTTTTTCTGAATTGTTGTAGGCGAGTGAGGAACTGTTTAGCGTTTTCGTTGAGGGAATTTCGTGCCTTTACAAAGTCGCTTCTATTGATATACGACAGAGCCCTCCGAAAAAGAGTAGGAACTCCTGTGGCAGCCAGCTCTGCCGATGTCACAGAACATCACGGGTACACACAGAAACCTTTCCCGTGGCCCTGTCATGTCTTAAGTGGAACATCATGGGTATAATGGTCATCGACCACTAAAGGCGCAGGTGGAAGAAATTAGTATCGATCAATAAACGGATAGACTGATATGGTAGGGCTGCGCAGCAGCATCTACTGTTGCACAAATGGGCAGGCTCGTCCGTGGAATAACAGAGGCCAAGTAGGAAGGTGCACCTTACCTCTAGGTAAGTGCTCCTTAGGAAGAGTAGCTGAGGTGGTCAACGATATTTGGTTTACGGAAGTATGCGAAAGCGTTATAGCTAGTGTAAGTGGTAGTTTGTGACGTTCAATAACACCTTAAAATAAGGCTATATTGAATAAAGAAATTTTGATTTTAATTTTAACTTTCAACTGGGTGGAACATTTTGAGAGTTTTGTAGGTGTGAGTCTGACATAGCCCGTCATCGTCCCCTTGGTATATGGGTATTTCCCCCACTTAAATCGGATCTGCAATGTCCATGGCCGGCGGTGTAACTCAACAACAGGTGACAATCGCTTTCCATTTTTCACGAAAAAAGGTTTTTTGAAAGAAATAATTATGGTCATATCAGAAAATGACAAACTCGATACGAATACGACCTTCCCAATTGAGTTCGATGAAGCTTTTATAGTCTAAGGACTGAAAGCGTATCATCAATTATACAAAAAAACCTTCCCAATTGTAAAATCGCACATTATTAAGAAAACAATGCACAACGATATCGAAGAAATAGCGACTTTTATACAATTATAGTAACAAAGAATTACAAAACAAAATACAACTTACAAGCTTAATTAGGTATGCATTGATTATAATCTGCTTTAAAAGATTTCTAACAAAAGAGT